CGGCGGCACAGCACCATTTGAGTTTGCTGCCCTTTGCCACCACTCCGCCACTGCCGCTGCCCTTCAGTGAGTGGATTGATCCACTCACTGCCCGACCGCCCTTCTTCCGGGCTTCTGTTGAGCATGCAGAATGGTTGGGAGAAGACCTTGGGCTCCTGGGGGGCATTGAGCGCGAGCTGGCAAGCCTGCCTGGCAGCTATGCCGCCGAGGCGGGGGGCAGCATGCTGCTGGCGTATGCGGCGAGCGGCAGCGGCGAGGAATGCATCGGCGCCGTGGCGCTACGGCGCCTGGCCGGGCACACGCCCACGCTGGGCGAGGGCGACGCGGTGGCGGGCGTGCCGCTGGCAGAGGTGTGCGAGATGAAGCGGCTGTTTGTGCTGGAGGGGCACCAAGGGTTGGGCGCTGGCGCGGCGCTGGTGCGGGCCCTGCTAGCAACGGTGCCACTCCTGGGCTACCGCCTTATGGTGCTGGACACGCTTGAGCGGATGTCGTGCGCCATTCGCTTGTACAGCAGGCTGGGATTCCAGCCCTGCGAGCGCTACAACGACTGCCCGGTGCCGGACGTGCTGTACTTTGCTTTGCAGCTGGGGACAGCCACGTGAGGCAGCTTTTGCCAGGCCACTGGTACCAAATGTTTGCAATGAACCGTTCTTAACCTTTCTCTGTATCTATCTTATCTGTATCTTTATTCGATGACTAGCACTGCAATCGCACCGACCACCTGCTTTCTGTAAACGTCTGCCCTGTCGTCATGGGAATGTTACAACACCTCAACCCCCAACTCACGCAGCCGCCTCTCCACCTGCGCCAGGCAGGCGCTGTTGGCATCCAACTCTGCGGCATGTGGCAGTGCTGCTTCGCCATCCAGTTGCTGACAGCCATTATGGAGGTGGCGCTGTTCTGCCACGAGGTCTCGAAGCACCGCCGCCACGCGCTGGAGCCTGAACATGTGATGCCAAGGGCTACTGAGATTGCAAGTTTTGAGGCCGATGTATCCATCATCAGCCACCATCCTAGATGGGCAGCTCTGATGCTCGCTGCCGCTGCCTGCTTCCTCTCTTCCAGCTGCCATTAATGCCTCTTGCAACTGGCCTGGTGGTGCTCCTTCATGGCGCGGGGAGCCGCCGACTGCTGCTAGCTGGTGCAGACTGCGCCGCGCGATACAGCGCAGCAGTGTCCCAAGTCCCGCATAGTCCATGCCCGCGTTGGCCGCCAAACTTCTCTGAACCAATCGTTCAAACTCAGCCAGGCTGCAGGCAAACATGAAATGGTAGCAATTCAGAAACCTATCGGCCTCTGCCAAAATGACCTAGCTTCCTGAAAAAAGGAGAGGGCCGGTCTTGCCTGCAAAGCTCCCGGCAGTCCTCGATGCCCTCCTCAGCCTGCCGCCGTTCCAGTCGCAGCAGCGCCCACGTCCAGTGCACGTTGTGGCCATTGAGCCAGTTGTGGTTGATGCTAATACAGTCGTCGACATTCTCCACTGCAAAAATATCGGGGGCAGTACCCAACACGCAGATGTCAGGAAGCAGGTTGGAATGCTTCAGCGGAGGCCACGCTGCTGTGGGTTGGCAGGTGCAAAGAACATGGCATTGGGCCTACCCGTATGCCACCAGCCTGAGGGTACAAAAATGGCGTCGCCCGGATGCTGAACCACGGTTACGATGTGCGAGCGTGCCTCTTCAAGTCGAGGGTACAGGCCTGCATGCACGAGAAAGGGCCGGTCATTGCACAGGGACTGCCACTGCGACGTGGAATGCCTGACATGCATGCCCCCCCCTCCATTGTCACGCCTTGCAGCAGCATAGAGGCCTGCCAAACGCTGCACCTTCAAGGTCTTCTGCAAAGAAATCCCACGCAGGGATACGACCATGGAGGTCCAGCAGCAGGTGGCTGTACTGCAAGCGGGGGACAGAGGCAGCAGGTGGCTGAAGCAACAACAGGGATGCATGCCCCTACTGCCGTCAAGTTAGGGGAGCCCCACCTGGGGCGGCAGCAACCGCCACAGTTTGCATCCCACCACATTAGCTGACCAGCTGAAGCTGCGCAGCACATCTGAGTGCAGTGAGGTGCTGGTGCCCTGCAGGGAACAGGGGCAGCCACTGGCCAGGTGCTCCATCGCAGGGGCCTCATCGATCGCCTTTTTTTCACCTCCAGCTACCTCACTTCAGCCTCCTACCTTTGCACCCAGATACACAAACCGATAGTCGGCTGTCCTGACATCGTGCTGCGGCTGCGGCTGCTCACGGGCATCGTACAACTCATTCAGCCAGTCGTCAAAGAAGAAGGAGGGGCAGCGGTAGGCTTGATACTGCGGATCAAAGGCCGCCAAGTGCCAGTCCTTGCAGTACCACAAGGGACCAGGAGTCAGCAACGTGCTGGATGCCCTTGTTTCCTCCTCCTCCTCCTGCTGCTGCTGCTGCTGCTGGTTGTGCTGCTGCCACCAGTCAATGTACTCTGCCAGCAGCATCTGCCGGCAGGGCCCGCTCCCCTCGTGCTCTCTGCGTGCACAAGAAGCCCGTTGCAAGAGGGGAGTCATCCCGCAGCAGCCTTTACCTGCTGGCTGGCACGCACTCGCACCTGGCAGTGTCTGTGACCATGACCTGCGCATGTCCAAAATGCTGCCGCAGGAAGTCGAAGTCGATTGCGCCACATGGGGTAACCCAGTCGACTGCTGCCCGCCAGCCCTCCGTCGCACCCTCAACAAGGACCGGGGCATTTGGCTCCATAAACTCCAGGCAAAAACGCGCATAGCTCAGCTCTGAGGCGGGGAGGCGGGGAATGGAGCTGGTCTCGGCGGCGGGCGCCAAGCCGGGCTCCGCCGGCGGCGGTGCGCCGCTGTCGCCAGCGGTCAACACAACCTGAACGCACATTCGCGATCGATCTATTTCTCGCCATTCAGTGCAGCGGAGCATCCACACGACAGCACGCCATGCCAACCTCTGTAGTTGCAGCAGCAGGCCGAGAGAGGAGCGTGCGCCAGGGTTCGTGCATCTGCGGCCAAATGATGGATAGACGAGCGATGCCCTGGGGGGAGGGGGCCAGGCATTATGGCAGCGGGTCGCCGTGGCGGCAGCGTTGGCAGCGGGCGTGCCTTGGAGCCGTTGCCGGCCTTGCCTGGCTTGGCATTCCTGCCTGGTGAGAATCGACAGCAGATACATACCACATGACATTTCATGCAGGCTGGGGTTGGTGCAGGCAGTTTCTCGCTGCGCAGGCCGGCCGATGCTCACCGACTCACTGTGGAGAGGCAATAATACAGTTGGGCATCAGTTGGGTATTTGATGAATCAATGGGAAGAATCCGAGGCACAAAGTTGGGCAGGGACATACAGCAAATAGCAACCATAAGAATTCTTTCCTCAATTCACAGGCAGCGACAGCCTCCCGACTAAGGTGCTCAGGCCTGGCCATCCGGCGCGGGGCAGCCGCTGTGCTCGCCATCGCGTCCCACTCCGCGCGACACCACCCCCGCCGCGCCCACATTGAAGCGGTGCAGCCAGCGGGTGTAGTAGTCGTCCAGGTAGCGCTGCCGGTCGCCGCCCACAGCCGCAATCTCTGCCAGTATCGCCTCCAGCGCCTGCCAGGGCACCCGCGAGCTGCGGTCGCGTGGCCACCACGGCGGCTTGCCGGTGCCCGCCACCTCGGCTTGGCCGGGCTGAGAGATGGCGGGGTCGCACACCACCGCCAGCCACCAGAGCAGCTGGGAGGAGGGGTCCTGCGGTACAGATGGGGGGTGCAAGGAGTGGGGCTGTAGAGGGATCACAGCAGCTTCCAGGTGCAGGAATGCCAGCAGCAGGCTGGGGTGAAGGGTCCCACCACCACAACAGCGAGCGGCTGGTCAAGGCCCACCTGGGCATTGGCTTTGCTGAGCCCAAAGGAGCCAGGCATGAGGCCAAACTCGTAGGGGCTGATCTCAATGGCGCTGCTGCCAGGCCGCATGAGCCAGGAGTTGGCCATGTTGGCGCCTGCGGGAGGGGGCGGCGGGACGGCGCGGCCAGGCAGGGGTGCGGCAGGGTGAGCGGGTGATGTGATTGCACGCGGCGGGCGGGGAGGGCAAACAGCCTCTGCAGGCAGCCATGGGTGCGCACTGCCTGCTGCACGTTGGCACACCGTGCATGCCGATGAACACGTCGGCATCCTGCGCCGCCACCACGCCCGCCTCCAGACTCGGCAGCTCCACCTGCACACCAGCGAGAGGTGGGGGCTCTTAGAGCAGGTGGAGCCGACTCCGGGCCAGGTAGACACCCCAGATCTGCCAGCACCATGCAGTGGGCGGAGGCAGGAAGGAAGCGGGAGAGGCAGCACAGCACCGCGCCGCACCTCGCGACACTCGGCGGTGATGGTGGCGCCGCCGCCGGGCGGCTTGTGCCGCCACTTGTTGCACCGCTGCAGCAGCTCCCTCGCGTTCAGCAGCTGCCGCCCCTGGCCGCCCCGCTTCATGAACGCCACCCTCAGCCGCCGCCCGCCTCGCCCTGCTGCCGTGCTCGGCTGGCCAGCACCGTTGCTGCCCATCTGCTGCTGCTGCTGCTGCACGTGCTCTACCAGCATCTGCCCATAGGCATAGTTCTCTCTGGGAATGGCCCGCATCAGCGCCTGCCGCGCCGCTGCCTCGCCCAGCGGCAGCTGCTCCTCCAGCGCCCGCATCGCCTTGAACCGCCGGCCACACACAAACATGTGCTGGAAGCAGCGCTGCTCAGAGCCCTCGAAGCTGGGCCGTGGCAGCAGGCCGTCCCACTGCAACGGGATGGGATGCAGATGATGGGCAGGCACAGTCAGAAGGCACGGTGGGGGCACCGAGGCAGGCAGGCAGGCAGGTAGGAGGTGCCAGCCATTGCACGCATGCTGCTACTGCCCCCACGCCACTTGTGCACCCGTTTGCCATACAACCCGAGTCCAGCCAGCTCTCAGCCCCAGCCCTGCTCACCCCCTGGGCCAAGGGGTCGTAGTCGTGCGGCAGGCGCCGGCTAAAGTCGGCCCATGTCTGCACTGACAGCTCGGTGAGCGGCGGCAGCAGCGCCGCCTCTGGCGCCGTCATGCCCAGCCCCTCGGGCGTCACCGTCACCAGCTTGGCGTGGCGGCGCCAGGGGGTGCGGCGCAGCAAGGCGTGCAGGTAGGAGGCCAGGTCTGCGGAAGGCAGGCAGCAGCATGTGGGTGGGCAGCTGGACGGCGGGCAACAGGCAAGGCAAGCACCGGAGCCACACTATGCTGCACACGCGCTCCGCAGCAGCCCCCTTCCTCACCGTGGAACACGTGCACAAAGTTGGAGGCAAAGATGGGGTAGACCACGATGGGCACGGTGCAGTTGGAGAAGGCGGGGGCGGCGAGGTAGGGCACGGGCTCCCGCGACGTGGCTGGGCGCATGCTCAGCGGCTCATGCCGGCGCCGCGTCTTGGCGGGGCTCTGCGGCAATGGCGATGCCGGGCAGGAGGGTCAGGATGCGGCCCATTGCACCACAGCGGGGGCCCACCGCACCTGTATCAGCTGCATGCCAGCATGCCGGCCTCACCTGTACTTCATAGGTCAGCCTGCGAGGCTGCCTGGCAAGCTGCTGCAGCCGCCGACGCATCTGCTGCGCGCTGCCAGTGGAACCCAGGGCATCGGCATCTTCGCTGCCGACGGCCTCCTCCTTGCCCTCCTCCACCTCCTCACGACCATCACCATCATCATCATCGCCCTCGCCTTCCGACATATCGTTGGCCTCTTCCTCTGCTGCTGCTGCTGCTGCTCCAGTGCCGGCTTGCCGCCAGGGGTAGTTGTAGATTTTGGACTTGTCCACGCGGATGGTGGGCAACGGCGCCGCCTTGCGTCCCCCCAGCTCCTGGTAGCGCTCATCATACAGGATCAGCACCAACTGGTCCACGCAGACCCGTTGCAGCTGCTGGCAGTGCGCACCCCACGGCGTGCGCTTAATGTCGAGCGGATCACACTGCTGCGGCTGCTCTTCTGCCGCCGCCGCCGCCGCCGCCGCCGCCGCCGCCGCCGCTGCCGAGCGCTGCCTGCCGCCGCTGGCTGGCGTGAAGCAGGCTGGAGGAGGCTGGCGCCCTTTGGCTTCGCGGCGTGCGGCCCAGCCCACACTCAGGGCAGCCAGCAGCAGGAGGACGCCCGAAGGCCTGCACTGCAAAGTCAGCCTGCGCCGGAGCTTGGCGGGGCTGCGGGGCGCACCCTTGGCAACGCTGTGCGCATCCTCTCGCTCTGGGGTGACGGGTCCCAACAGGGCTGGCCCTCCTGGCCTGTTTTTCGCGGGAGTGCTCATTGGCTGCTCGCCATGCCCTTTCGCTGCCTCCAAGAGCTTGTAGGTATCGCGGATCTGAGTAATTGAGCGTGTTCGGCACGAATCGCGCGAGGTGAAGGGGCCCCAGTCGGAGGCGCCCGCGCCTGCTGCGGCGTGCCGCTTACACGCATCCATGGACAAGCTATACATGCATGGACCTCATCGAGCTCCTCCTTGGAGATTGGCCATTGGTGCATCCGGTCCGTCGTGCCTACTGCTTCACCTGTCGCGCCGGTGGAATGTGCCCAAGAGCACAGGCACTCCGCACCCGCACATATTGATGTACTGCACTTCGTCGCGAGATATAGTCATATTGCACCGTGTGGACGTCCGTGGAACCAACATGGGGAGCCGGCTGGGGCTGGCAGCGCTCATCGGCCCACTTGCTTTGCATTTCGGGCGATAGGCCCAACCCTGCCCCAACACTTCCCTGGCGAGCTAACAATGTGGCCAAGTGGGTGCATCAATGTGGATTGTGAGGCACTTGCTTGTGGTGGTTAGACGCTGTGAATAGGGACAAGATGCATCTGGAGTCTCATCTCTTGTCCGTGGTGCTGGCTTATGCCGCAGGCGCCCCCTTGATGGCCAGCGTCAGCTGCTGCTCGGGCTTGGCGGCAGCCCATGCCAGCGTCAGCGACTCCACCGCCTCTTGGCCCTGCAGCTTGTACTCCAGGTACGAAATGACAAGTGCGCTGGCGTCAGGCAGAATGGACGTGGAGTCGCCAGCTGCCGGGCAGATGGTGGTGCCGCCAAAAAACACCTGTCCCGGCCCGGGATCAACAAACGACATGTGGCCCGCCTGCACCACAGGCAAGGATGGAGCTCAGCGCCAGGCAGCCGCACGATGCCAAATGGAGACTTGCCTGTGGCAGCCGCGCCAGCCAACTTCCTGGCTTGGCAAATTCAACGAACCCAGAAGGTCCATCCGTCGCTTGCGTCATGCCCACCCTAGTCTTGGACTCCAGCCCGGTCTTTCCATCATCCCAGTGGCAGCATGTCCTGGGCAGCAACCCAACCCGCCGTTGCACAGCCATGGGCAGGGCACGCAGCAGAATTTAACGAGATGCAGCGGCACCCTCCCCCGCTCCAGCGCTCACCAGCTGGGCTCGCAGAACCCAGCGGCCCTCCAGGCCGCCTCCTCGGCAGCTGTTGGCAGGTGATCCTGGGGCGGCAAACAACGCCGGCGGTCAATGCAATGCACTCCTACCGTCACAACCATCACAGGCTGGTGGTAGCTGCAGCGGGGGCGAAAAGGACATGAAGTTCTAACGAGCGAGGCCATGCCACAACCCTGGTTGACCCATCTGCTTTAGGCTCCTGCGCCTGCGCCAACTCATGCAGAACTTGCTTTCCACTACTCTGCGCTTACTCTGCCAGGAAACGCCGGGCCACTCGCAGGCTCTGGCTTGTGAAATCGATTGGGTCGAGCAGCACCGCGGCGCCCACCTCCTGCTGATGCAGCCCTGCCTGGATGGCCGTCAGCCCTGCACACCAGCCGCGGTCATTGGGAGCCCATCGCAATGCAACTTGCGGAGCGGGAGCCGACCACCAACAGTGGCACAGCCGCGGCAAACTGTCACCCTGGTAACACAGTTGCAATGCCATGCATGAGAGGGTGCCAAGGCAAGACAGCTCAGCCGCCGGCATGCCCCGACTCACCGCCACCCATGCTGTGGCCGACGACCGCTATTGGTCCTGGTGCGAACATGCCGGCAAAGGAGCCGGGCGATTCCTTCCATGTTAGGTTGGCCCAGTTGCGCCAAGCCATAATCTGCTCATAGTATAGGGTTTCCTGCTCGCTGCTGGGTTGGAAGATGCCCTCTTTACGGTCGTACTGTACCACGGCGTACCCATGTGACGCTATCCTATTGACCATGGTGGAGTAGTACTGGGACTGGCAGGTGAACCCTGCACAAAACATCGCAGTGGTGATCCGGCCTGCACACATGTGGTGATGATCCAGCCCGCTCAGCTCCCCTCACCGCTGATCCAGTAAACTGTGGGATACGGCGCTGGTATGTTGGCACAGCTGGAGTTCAGCGGCATCGTGACCCGCAGGTTGAGCAGGCACTGCACGCTGCGGCAGCCGGTGGCGGCGGCCGACAGGTCCAGCGAGATGTTTGACACTTGCCGCAGCTGGCGGCAGGGCCCCACTCCCTCGTAGGGTAGCGCCATACCGATGCCGCTCATGGCTGTGACCAGGATTTCATGGCCAAGAACCATGTAGATAGACTCAAGCTCCTGCGGGTTCTCAGCCGCTGCCTTGGGGCTGGGCTCCTCATAAGCTGAAGGGGCGCTGGGGAGGGCTTGCGCCGGCGCCGACGGCACCGGTTGTGGAGTCCCCTGAGTGACGGCCTGCGGCTCGCCGTGCTTGTTCCTTGTGATGGAAACGCGAGTAATCACAGCTGAGAGCACGCCAACCACTGTGCAGAGGAGCAGGCAGACACTCCCGAGGAGGATTCGCTGCTTGGTTTCCGGCCTCATTTCGGCAACGTTGTATAACGCGACAGACGCGACAAAACCGGCGGAGGAGATTTGAGCCTGGCGACTTCGGTGGCGCCTGATGAAAGCACGAAGTCAGCACGTGCTCGGCGCGCTCAGCAGGAGGGCGCCGAAGAGCAGGGTCTCAACTGTTCCACCCCATTAAGGGAGAACATTAACAGTGAGCACATGCATCAACAAGCGACACAGCAATTCAGCTGCGCCGGCCGCCAGACCGCTTCTCGACGACGCCGGTTACCTTCAGCCCCAGCAGGTGACTGGCAGCCCCGCCTGGTGCAACAGGCAAGGCACTGCGGGAGATGTGGCCGGGAAGCTCTAGTAGCGTCAGCTGGGTGCAGCAGATGGCCGCTGCCTGCAGGTGCAAGGGACAGCCGTCCAGCCATCAGCCCAACCACCAGCAGATCAGGCAGCTGCAGTCAACATGCCACCTGCACTGCTGCCCACGAATAGCTGCTCACCTGGAGTGCTGCCTTCGTGATGACCGGGCAGCCGTCTAGGCGCAGGGCACGCAGGCGGCCCAGATGATGCAGGGTGCTGCCTGTCAGGCGGTCGCAACACACCAGGTGCAGGGCGTGCAGTTTTGGTGGGCTCGCCCAACCCTTTTTGGAAGATGGATGTGGCTGATCATCGTGCTGTTGCGGCCCCCCTCGCTGCCCCACGGTTGCAATAATCTGCTGCTGCAGCCCCTCCTGCTCCTGCTCCAGCTCAGGAAGCAGATGCAGCAGCACGTCATCCGTCAGCGCAGCGCAGCCAGCCAGCTCCAGTTTCTCCAGGCTGCCACGGTTGGCCGCCAGCACCGGTGCCAGCTGGGCATTGGTGAGGAAGGGCCGGCGGGTGATGCGGAGCCGTGTCAAGCCAGTCAAGCCTGCAGGAGAAGGGGAGGACATGGGTGCTAGGGTTGGAGCAGGCAAGGAGTCGCGTGCAAACGCCGTGCGTCCAGGAGCAGGTAGGCGCCAACAAGTGCGCCCTCCGCCCAAAGCTGGGCATCATTTGCGAACCCTCTCAGTGTTCCTGCCCCGCCTGCCTGTCAGGGCGTGGTGCTCATGCCAGGCCAGGGTGGCGCCGCCAACTGCCAGGTCGCGCAGCTGCGGCAGCTCCGCCAGCGCTGCCAGGTCGGCATCCCCCAGGCCGGTGCACCCTATCAGGGACACTGCCTCCACAGCTGGACAGGAGTGAACCAGGCGCGGCAGCAGCCCGCCACCGGCAAAACAGCCGTCCAGGTTCAGCTGGCGCAGGCTGGTGCCGGCTGCCTGTAGCAAAGCGGCAAGGGCCTGGGTCGGAGCGGTGCTGTTGGCACTGCCTTTGCTCGATAGGCATTGCACGTGGCTGACATCCAAATGTCGCAGGCGTCAAAGCAGAAGGCGTCTTCCATTGTTGGCTGCAAAGGAGGCGGTGGCAAGCTGCAGCAGCGCTGCTGCTGTCAGCTGATTGCTACCAACCAGCCGCAGCTCTTCGATGCAATACTTTTTGCCGCTGGCTGGTGTGGGTCTCAGCTCCAACAGGGACGCATCGGTGAGTCCCCCGCAGCCGGACAGATCCAGCCGGACCGCTGCCTTGACAGAGAGGCTGAGTGCACGCAGCAGACTCACCAGGTGCTGCACATGGGAGGCATGCAAGGCCGCCATCAAACCATGTCTACATCCCGAGCAGATGCCCATGGCTGTGCTTGGGCTCTCTGCTGCTGCTGCTTGCTGGTCACGGTAGGGGACGGAGGTTGGGACCTGGGACAATGTGGCTGTGCCTCACCTGAGGGCCAACCCAGACAAGGTCGGCAAGATGCAGCGTACCCAACATACAGCCCAGCTGCAGCAGGGCATGTGCCAAAAGGGCTAAGGAGATGGAGGAAGCTAAGGCCACGCAGTACAAGTCTAGTACAGGCTGGCACCAAGCCAGTGCCCTCACCTGCACCGCCGTGCAATGTGCCAGCGCCACCAGCCCGGGCCCTTGAATGCGCAGGCATCCGCTCAGACATAGTTTCCGCAAGCATGGGCAGCCGCCAGCTACTGCCTCCACGTCAGAATCATCCACGGCTGTGCCAGATAGATCCAAGGCCTCGAGATGCTGCCAGCTGGACAGCAGCCGGCCAATGCCGGCCAGCAGCTCGCAGCCAGAAAAGCTGCACCATCATGACTCAGAGGTGGGTTCCCAAAACTGGGGCCGCAGCACAGCAGCCAGAGGCCTGGACCCCTCATTCCCAAGCTCAAGTCCCTACCTGGCATGCCGCAGCGGCAGCAGACCCAATGCCACCGACCACGCATCATCGCCTGATGGCAGCACTTCCGCAGTCACCCACCGGCAGCCTACGCCAGCAGCGCAAACCTTGAGCATGGCGGTGCGCCACAATGCACCAATGCATAGCAGGCCCAGGCCTGGACAGCATAGCTTCCTCCGTGCAGCTGTTCAGCGCTGGCTGCTCAGCCAGCGCTGAACATGCCTCACCCGACAGGTCGAGGCTGGTCAGTGCAGGGCACTGTAACAGGACCTCCCGCAGCCCGTCGCTGCCGCCAACCCGGCAGCAGCCAGCCAGCCGCAGCTGCTGCAGGCCAAAGGCAGGCTTGGTGGCGTTTGGCCTGTTCTTCAGCAGCTGCGCCAGTGCAGCCGCCAGTCCGCTGCCTACAGGCACTGCCGTGCCGCCCAGATCAAGAGACAACAAGCCGCGATTTGCACCGATGACGGCACCCAAGATGTCCAGCACCAGGGAGCCACTCGAGGAGGCCGAGGCAGCGCCGCCTGTGCGGCGACGACGGCTACCACCGCTGTTGTGGGAGGCACCCTGCAGGCAGAACCAGGCCAGAGAGCAGTGGCGCTGCTCGCTGGCACACTTTTCATCCAAGCAAGGCCAACTTAAAAGAATCTTGACGTTAAGCAAACCTGTACACGCCAAAGCCCAGCCAGGCATAAACTGGTGAGTGTGGAGATCTGTGCCAGCGGCAGCAGGTCGCTGTCGCAGCATGCTGTGGCGCCTGAGAGGTCCAGATGATGCAGCTGCAGCAGACAGCTATGTTTCCGGTCGACTAGGCACAAAGCAACGCAGAGATCGGCCACTGTGCACAACAGATGGCCAAATCACAGAGGCGGGCGGCGGCACGGCGCCCACCTGTGGACATTTTGCTGCCGCCCATCGTAGGCAGCCGGTCAGTCCAGGTGTCCACTTGTGCGTCTCAAAGGCGCTGATAAACTGCCAGCGGCTGCTATTGATCACTGCCCGCAACGTTGAACAAGTGGCAGCAGCGGCGGCCAAGTCCAAAGCCGCGTTGAGCTGGTTGAGCACCAGGTGCAGCAGGCTTTCAGGAAGATCCAGCAAAGACATGGTTTGCACCAAATCTTGTGTCTCTTCAACTCGCTCCTCTTCTAACGGCTGCACCACCACGGGCGCGTGTGTGCCGCCGCCGCCGTCATGGGCGCCGCACAAAGGCCGGTGGGGAGGCACGGGCTTCAGTGGCGCTTGGACGCACACTCACAGGAGGCGCGTGCCACTCTCTACTCCATGGGCGGCTGAGGGCATAGGACCCGAGGCCACGGCCAACAAGCGATGGACAAGCTAGTCGGCAGGGGGCTATGAACGGAGCGACTTTCATGAACCACTGCTGAGCCAGAATGCTTTCACGGGTGGCAGGCAGGCAGCTGACTTGGCCAAGCAGCGGTGCGCATGTGTGCGGCAGGCGGCGGCAACCGGCGAGGCCTGCCAGTGCCTCCTCTTGTGCCCCCGAAATAGTGCCCCTGAAGTAAAAGTTTGACAGTGCTACATGGCTCACAGAAAGCAAGCAAATCAGCTTTCAAGTGGGAACAACATCAGGCATCCTGCGTGCAGCTCAACCCCGGACCACCGCGCCCAGGCCGACATACGCCTTGTGCTGCTTGCGCGCCTGCGCCACAGACGGCCAGAACTCGATCTGCAGGCTGTTGAACAGGCGCAGCACGTCGTCGTGCTCCCGGCAGTCGGTCATGATGCGCCCGCGCTGCGCCCGCACCACCGCTGCAATGAACTGCAGCACAAACTCGGGCGGCTGGTCCTCTCCAGAGCTGCCATCAGGCACAGCCGCGGACAGCCGCGCACTGCCGCTCTGCCGCCCGCCCGAGCTGGCAGGGCGCTGCCCCAGTGCCGCCGCCGCACGAGCGCTGGCGGTGGCCTCTGACAGGCCGTGCACCGTGGACCGCAGGCCGGCGGCAGCAGTCGCGGTCGCTGCTGACGCAGCTCCGTCGCTGCTGGTGCGCGAAACGCCCTCCCCTCCCTCGCCGCCTGCCACCGCCCCCGTCTGCTGCTGCCTAAAACTCGCCCTGCTGCTGCTGCCGCCAAGGCCACCGCCTGCTGCAGCACAGGCCTCCCCTTCTGCTGCCTCGTGTGCCCACTGCATCTCCCACAGGGTGCAGCAGGCGACGGGGGGCAGCTCCCGGCGCAGCATCACCACCACCATCCTGCGGTTAGCCAGGCAGTGGCAAAGGGAGAAGGGAGCACAGCGTGAGAGGCATGGGGAGTAGGCAGGCCAGGAGAGGCCAGGGTACATCAGGCAGGCATGGCATACACATGCAGTGGGCAGACCGATGAGCGGATCGACGCCGCACCTGTAGGCAAACATGCAGTCCTCGGCTCCCAGCTGCTGCAGCTTCCTGTACAGGGTGGGGTCAGTGTCACGCAGCACGCGCGCTATCTGCTGCAGCTGGTGCCTGCAGACGTGGAGGGACGAGGATGGGTATAAGAGGTGGCGTACAGGAACAAACAAGGCAGGCCCAGCCGCGAAGACTGCTTGCAGCCGGCTCACCTGATGCCTGTTTCGTCGTGTTTGAAGTTGCGGCGCGCGCTGCGCATGAGGCGCTCGAAGCAGGCAAATGCCAGCGCATCGTCGTCAAACAGTTGCACAAACACAGCGGCCAGGTCGGACCTGTGCGGGGCAGGACCGGGGGTGGGGGTGGGGGGTGGGGCCGCACGAAGCCGGGTGAGGATGGGATTGCAGGTTCATGAGCATGCAAGACCCCAAATGATGGAAATAGGCTCCCTGCCACCAGCTCTGCGCCGTAGCTTGGCCCAGATGGCAGGTCACTGCTGCCCTCCCCGCGTCCCCGCGCTGCGCCCAACCCCCCGGCAGCTGGCTCACATGCCCTGGCAGTAGCCGGTCTCTGGGTCGTGCACGGCGTAGGCGGAGAGGATGTTGACGAGGCGCAGCATCTGGCAGCGGTGCGGGTCGTCCAGGTGGGCAGCGCCCCACAGCATGTCGTGGGCCAGCGCGCTGCGCCAGCGGGGCAGCTGCCCCGCCTCTGCCGCCGCGCCCGGGTCCGCCGCAATCTCCGCCAGCTCAGCCTCGGTGCTGGGCGCTGTGGGGTCGCGCGGCGGCGGGCCCACCATCATCAGCTCTGGCAGGCCGTCGCCCACCGCCACCGGCAGGATGGTGAGGGTGGGTCCCGTGCCAGATGCAGGGCCGATGCTGGCGCGGCCGCCTATCGCAGGGTGCTGCATGCCACGCCGCAGGTCGGTGCGCACCGCATCCATCACAATGATGCGGTGAGCCTCCGCAAAGGCCGCCAGGTTGCCCGGAAGCGGCACCGGCGACCGCGTGCCCAGCTGCAGCGCGGACGCCGAGGCACTGCCCGCCTCAGAACGGACCGACAGGCCGGCTGAGTCGGCAGGGGCCTCGTCTGCGCCATTGGCTACCGCCACGCCATTGCCACCGCTAGTGCCGCTGCCGTTGCTGCCGCCGCTGGTGCTGTTTCGGAGCGCTTGCAGCTGGTCATCCAGCTCCCTGCACACCAGCACCAGCTTGATGTATAGCCTGCAGATAGGAGCAGGCCAGCCAGGCAGGTTCAAATTCAAGAGCAACTGGTTTGTGTGTTGTACAGAACCCGGTCGTGACAATAGCAGAAAACGGCAGCCACGCTTCTTGCAGCATCACAGCTACCTGCGCAGCTGCTCCAGCTCTCTGCTTCGCTCCTGCTGGGTGCTGGTATGGGGGAAGACGCCCAGCAGCAGCGGCCACAGCTCGGCTCGCAGCTCAGGGGCAACACCCTGCAGGCATGGGTTGGCCAACAACATTTGGTGGGTTGCCAGCAGCTCCCCGTGTTTGCCCAGCTGCTTCGCTGCAGCAACTGCCCAACGGCTGCAGCACGGCTCAAAGGGAGAACCAAGTGTGGGTGGGCAGCGGCAGGTCTCACTCCATCTTGGACCGCCTTGAGCACTTTTGGCCAGTTTTCAATGTAGCCCTGCTCGTCGCGCTTGACACCCTCGTGCTGCAGCGGCGGCTTGGCCCGCCGCGCCGTGAAGCTGTCAAAAGCAGAAGCACTGAGCACCCCTGCCCCAAACGCGGCGCCAGCGAGACCCAGCCCAGCAAACGCGGCCACTCCCACGCCCACGCCGACGACCACAGCCGCCGTCGACAGCACCTCCTTGCCGCCGCCGGTGCGGCTCATTGCCGTCTTTCGCGCCGCTTTACCGCTGGCTGTCTGCCCTGCCCCGGCCCCGTTCTGCTGTCTATACCCGTGGGCTTGCCGCGGTTCGGTGCCGGAGGCAGTGTTGCCACTACACCCGCGGGGGCCCCAAGCGTTGCTGTCAGGCAACTGGTGAATCGAGGCAGCACCGCGGCGAGACTCCCAGCGGTGGAAGACTCCAAAAGGCGTGATCGCCTCCTGCTGACGGGTGCCTTTAGTGGGTATTTACAGAGCCGCCGCACACCTGATGCGGCAGCTGGCAAACGATAATGACCCCCCCCCCCCCCCCCCGCCTGTGGCAAGGAGGGATGGCCTCCTCTCCGCGCTGCTGGCGCCAGCAGCGCCCCGTTGGCGGTGCGGAGATGTGGTTGCCTCTGACTGCCCATGGCGGCCCTTGACGATACCAGCCCTTGACGATATCAACCCATTCATTTTGGCCAGTGATCCAGATCACACTTTGCCCTGCTAGCATTCGCTTGTGCCTAGCATGGTCGTCAGACGAAAGGGATCTTTTCACGGAAGTCTGACAACTTTCTGAGACCGACAAATGTCCTGCCCCAAAACAGGGAGCAGTGGGTAGCCAGTCCGGTGATGGCGAGCCATCCAGCACAAGGTGCGTGGGCTGTCAACAGAAAGAGGAAAGAGGAACAAAAAAAGGACATGCACAAGGCCTCAACAGGAGAGCTAGTAGGCGCTTTGGGCCATCATGTGGAGGCCCCCCATGATGGCAGGGCCTGGGCGCGGCCTGCCCTCGCTACTGACCCGTGCCGCTGTAAGGAGGGTAGTAGCCTGGTGCGAAATAGGCAGTGGATGCAGCAGTGGCACCAGGAGCCCCAGGAGCTCCCGACGCGGTTGACGCGACCGGTGCCTGCTGCTGCTGGCCATACCCACCTGTAGCCGCAGCAGCATAGGGGGGTGCCGCGGCATAGCTACCATAACCGCTGGTGGGGTAGGCAGCCGTGGCGGCAGCAGTGGGGTTTGCAGGGTCATAGGATGCGTAGGCTCCTGCGGTATTGTACTCGGAAGGTGCAGCCCCCCATGCTGCCATGTAACCGCCACCGCTTTCCGTCATTCCTCCTCCGGCCAACGGTGGATTGGCTGCCGCAGCAGCTGCCTGTTGCTGCTGCTGCTGAGCTGTGTTGCTGATGTACTTGCGTTCGGCAGCAGACGCGCCAGCACTGCCCGCGGCTGCTGCACTGGGCTGTGGCGGGGAGGTGTATTGTGGTGATGGCAGCTGGCTGGCAGGGTAGGGCTGAGAGAGGTGGCTCTGCTTGTAAGGCGAGGCCTGCAGCTGCTGCTGCTGCACTTGCTGCTGAGCCTGTCCCTGGGCCTGCCCCGGGTAACTGCCGTACGCTGCTGCTGGCTGCTGCTGCTGCTGTCCATAGCTGCTGACCATAGCACCGCCCACCGGCTGGCCACTTCCTGTAGCAGCAGCAGCGGCAGCCCGTTGCTGGGCCGCGACTCCGACTCCTGCCGCGGTGCCGCTGCCGACATACTGCTGCACCTGCCCTCCCTGCCTAAGCCGTGGGTCCTGTGGCGTCGCAAAGGTGTTTGCCCTGCTGGAGCCATATCCAGCAGCAGTGGCAGCAAGCGCGGCACTACTTGGCCCCGGGTAGGCAGCGGTGGTGCTAGTGGGGCCAGCAGCAGCGCCGCCGTAGCCGCTGCCCAGGGCAGCGCCGCCGTAGCCGCCGCCATAACCGGCGCCAGGCACACTTCCCGCAACACCCGCTGATAGTGTGGCGCTTCCGACAGGGTTTCCGTTGTACCCAGCACCTGCCTGGCTAGTCATCAGGCCAGAGCTGATTGGGGCAAGGCCAGCAGCCATGACAGGCAGGGCACCTGCGGCCTGCATGCCATACTGTGGCATAGGCTGCTGTTGCTGCAGCTGCTGTTGCAACAGCAGTTGCTGCTGCTGCTGTTGCTGCTGCTGCTGCATCGCGTTGCCTGCAAACCATCAATAATGGAGCCAGGGGTGTGATGGCCAGCATGGATTTTTCCTTCAGTTGTTCTGCAGCAACACCTCCAGCACGACAGGAGCTAGATCGCTGGCATGCCACTGCAAGAGCATCGTTAGAGATGGCCGAGCTGCTCACCTGCAAAGCCAGCCGTCTGGCTGCCGCCCAAGCCGCCACCAAGGCCTGCTGCCCCCATCATGGCACCTCCAAACTGCACAGCTGTGCCATATGCGTTGCCTCCCTGCAGCAGACAGGCAAAATGACATTTGCACGCGCTGGCTGCTGCCGGGTCACAGTCTTGACTAGTGTCCGGGAGGCCGCTTCAACTAGTCTAACAGACCTCGTGCCCCAAAGGCACGAAACACCCAAGCCAGAAGCCTGCTCGTCACACCTGCTGTTGCGGTTGCCGCTGCATTGACACGCTGCCGCCGCCCCCTCCACGGCTGTAGCCCCAGCTTGGCCCCTCGTCAACTTTCCGCTCAAATTGAGGAGGGAGGTTGCCACCATAGCGTCCGCCGCTGCGGCCCCAGCCGCCGCGCCCTCCCTCTGGACCGTGCCGGCCCCCACCGCCTCCCCGCCCACGCCCCCTGCCGCCAACATCGTGGCCCACACCGTGCCGCTGCGGGGCCTGCAGGGAGGGCCAGACCAGGGCGGGCATTGCCATGAAGGAGGGAAGCACTGCCCACCCCTGTGTCAAGCTGGGGCATATTCAGATACCATCCCCAACTCCCTGCCAGGGTACCTGGCATTGAGCAGCACAACGTGCTCCATGGCCCCACCTGCCATGGCTGCTTGCCGCCGCCGGGCTTGTTGCGGTTGGGTGCCAGCAAGTCCTCGGCAGGCACAGTCTCCAGAATCGTCTCCAGCAGCGCGGCGCTGGCAATCTGCGGGCCAGGAGGGAGGGCATTGCTTGCTGCACCTGCTCAGGAACTGCCGGCTACATGTGGATGACCTTGCTTGGACCTTTGCACTGCCTCCCACCGCACCTGTCGCCCGATCTGCTTGGTCCTGCCCCGCCCAGTGCTGGTCGCGAAGCTCTGGCCGCCACGGCTGTTAACAAGCTTGATGGCCACTGGAGAGCAGGGCAAGCAGTGCACGGCACTCAGCAAGGAGGGCTTTCAGGTAAGAAGCCACGTGTCAAACAGGTCTACACAGCCCAAGGCACCCACCAGAGATGGGGCCGGTGGCGCCCTCCGGGGGCGGTTGCTCCTCTGTGTCCACCCGCAGCGCCAGCCGAGACGCATACTCGTTCAGCATCGCAAGCGGCGTCTTGTTGTCCTGGCCCCGGGCCCTGCAACGCAACACACGCGGATCAGGTGGCGCGGACAAAGGGTGGGCGTGGGTGCAGAGCAAACGGCCGACCCCTGTAAGCTCAGGCAGGGGCGACTCGGCGGCCTCCGCCCTGCACTAGCTCAAGAGTTGCCAGGCGGGGCGCGGACGGCACCTGGCCGCCACCCACCCACCCCACTCACTTGAACTCTGCCATCAGGGCCTTGACTGCGGGGTAGGGATCCATGTAGTTGGTGCCATCTGGCAGCCCCTCCTCACCCACAGCTGGGCTGCTCGTGCCAGGGCCACCCTCTGCACCCCGCTGCTGCTTGCCGCCTACTGCTGCTGCTGGCTTTTCCGCCGCCGGCTTCGGGCGGCCAGCAGGGAAGGCGAGGCGGGGGCGCTGAGGCACGTGCAGCACTGCAACCAGGGCTGTGGTGACCGCCGCCTGCCTGTCCTTCTGCTGCCGCACGGCCTCCATCAGCTGCACCAGGCTGCTGTCGCTGTCTTTGGGCAACTGCAGGGGTGTGGTGGCCGCAGCGGCTGCCGCTGCGGCATGCAGCTCTGGCAGGGTCTTGCTTGAAGACAGGCTCATCGCCACAGGGACGCCGCAAGCCTGCACAGCAAGGGGAAGGGGCCCGCGTGTAAAAAGCAGGTTTCACATGTGCCCTACAGTGGCTCTGGTTACGTGTGCCCAAGCCAGAAAGCAGGCAGCCCTCACCTCCTTAACAGTCTGGCAGGCCGCCTCTGCCGCCTCCCTGTTTGCCATGCGCACAAACCCTGCAGGAACGGTGCAGCGGCATCACTGCAGTATTTCGGCAGCCACACCACCTGAGTGGGCAGTGGGCGGGAACAGCCCCCCAGGCGGCACACTCACCATAGCCGCGGCAGTCGCCGCGGTCGCGCTTGCGGCGGATGAGCTTAACGCCCACCACCTCCCCCGCTGGCACCACCGCCTGCCACACATCAAAGTCGTCCGCTGTGGGTGGCAGGCCGCCTGTAGGTGAGGAGACAGGGTGGGAGGCAGGCATAAGCGGCCATGGGGCAGGAGGGGGCGGTGCTGCGTGCTCTTGGCGCCAGCTGGTGCATGTGGCAGCTGCCCCAATGCTGCTGGCATCGTCCAAATGCGTTGCTGACGCCTGACACGCACCAATGAAGATGTCTACCGGCTGGAAGCCTGGCGGCGGGTCTTCGTCGGCATGTGCACCCTTGCGTGCGCCCCGCAACCCTGGGTCGTGCTGCCAGCTATCCTCGCCGCCGGCCACGGCATAGGCAGGCAGGCGGCCATCATCCTCCATGCGTGGCAGCAGCGGCAGCTGTGCCCGCTGCGACTGCCCGCCCACGTGCTGCGCCTGCTGCGCCGGCTGGCCGTTCTCGCCCTCATCCACTGACAGGCCGTAGAGCGCCCGGGCAGGCACCCGAGCAGGCGGTGCTGCAGCAACGGGAGGCGCTGATGGTTTGCCCGCCTGCGGTTCCGCCTCGTCGGTGGAACCCGCCTCGTGTGCCTGCCCATCTGATGCTGGTACTGCTGGTGCGTGTGGCGACATGGCTGCCAGCGCGTCCTGCTGCCCTGCGGTGGCACTGGCAGACAGAGCTGCCACCACCTGGGCCTGCTCCTCCTCAGGCAGCGGTGTCTCGCAGGCTCCTGGCTGATCGGCAGCAGCGAACGCTCCAGCCGGAGCTGCCTCTTGCACCGCCGCAAGGCCGTCTACCGCCATGGCCGCCACCCCATTCTGCTCCCCCCGAATTTCTTCTGCTTCTGCTGCTGCCGCTGCACCAACAGGGCCCTCAGCATCATAGGACCTGCAGCGGAAGAGGCGGCTGCCTGTATTGCGCCACGCCCCAGGTGCCGCCACCGCCGCACCCCACGGGCTGCCCACGCTGGCATTCTGGGTACATCAACATCACTCGAAGCGCAGCACGATCAACGGAATGCGTGAAAGAGGCAGAGCACTGGAGCACGCACCCATCGCCTGCAGCGTCGGGGGCAGCAGCGCCCGATCCGCTCTGATCAACTGGCGCATTCTGATCGGCCATGGGCTTGGTGCCCGCGTCCACGATCAGCGCATCCGCTTCTGCAGTGGGCGCTGCTTCCGAGGCCACTGCCTCGCCTCCTTCCGCCATCTGAATAGAAGCCGGGGAACCGTGCGCCAGATGCGTGATAGCATGATCACTGGGGGGCGTTCTTTCCAGTCGCCGCCGCGCCGCCGCCGCTCAGTTTTGAGGTGCTGCTGCATCCTCTAACTAGTGGGTTCAAGTTCAATGTGACCCTGAATGACACCATTTAAGATCTCCCAAAGTGCATGCCAGTCGGCTGGATCCACAGGCGGTGAACATTGGCGTGGCATCAGCTGCCGATTTGATGCCCTGGCGAGTGTGCCGCACCGTATCCTCGCTGTTGCCGATTCTGACAGTTAAAGCGGGTGGGTAATGTACCTATGAGGGGAATGAATCAAGGGCTTCTGCTGACACTTGCCGCCGTCGCAGCGAGCAACTGGGCGGCGGCGGCGAGTGGGCAATGCCTGTGATAGACATTGGCTGCAATAGACAACGCCTCTCGTCGGCACGATGCTCTCTGCATCTCTCTGTAGGTTTACAACGCACAACTTCATGTTCTGGCTGCTGGTACATGTTGCTAGTCCCAGGCCGAAACACTCAGGTTTCTGGGGATTGCAGCCCGTCCCAGTTATCTTCCCTCACTCTCTTGCACTGTCTTTGCTGCACTTCCTGTCTTGCACTTCCTCAAGGATGCGTGTTTGCGCCGCTGTGGCCCTGGGGGTGCTGATGCTGGAGCTCGCGTTGGCGACCCCCGCCCATGAATCCGCATCGGGGCTGAGTTTGGTGGCGTTCAAGCGTTCGCTGCTGGAGGAGGATGGGGGTGAGATGAGAGAGCGCGGAGAGACTGGGGCGATAAATTGGGGATGCCGCCGCACGTGAAGCCCTACCGCTGGGAAAAGCTGGGAAAAAGGAAGGAGACAGGAGAGAGGGAAATTGTGAAGGAATACCTCAGAAGGAGGCGCTACAACACCGCTGCATTGCTTCCACGAGTGCCCAAACCCGCCGCCCGCCGCCCGCCGCCCGCCGCCGCCCCCCATGGCCCAGGCGATGACCCATGCGCCCAGTTGGAGCTGGTCAACTACGACATGGGGTTGCACATCGCCTCTGTGTTCATATTGCTGGGCGTGTCGCTGCTGGGCTCCCTTGCTCCCGTGCTGCTGCGGGTGTGCAGCGCCAGCCAGCGCATTGCGACGGCCATCCGGCTGGGCACCTTCTTCGGTGTGTGCGCCCACAGCTTGAATGATTTATGTGGCAAACCATGCATTGGCTGCATGCCTGCTCCCTCCGCTTCTTCATGCCCCCAGTCTCATTTCGGTTGCCTGCCCCTCCCCCCCTCCCCCCAGGGTTTGGCACGCTGATCGCCACGGCATTTATTCACATGATGCTGCCCGCGGTGGAGTATCTGACAAATCCGTGCCTGCCGGCCTTCTGGACGGAGTCGTACGAGGCCTGGCCCTTCCTCTTCACGACTGTGGCCGTGCTGGGCATGCAACTGGTCGACTACCTTATTAAGGCGAGCCAAGGGCCCGTTTGACCCTGGTTCCATGCTCACATCCAGCTCACGATTGCTCCCGTCCACCTTTCGCCTGCAGGGGTACCTGCGCCGCAACGGCATTGCCCAGGGGGACCAGGTCGGCTGCCACACCGCCGTCATTGGAGCCATCATCAGCACCGGGGCGCACAAAGTGCAGCCGCAGGCACCCTCAAACAGCCAGCTGGGGGATGCTGAGGGTGGCGAGGCCAACGAGGAGGGAGGTGAGCGTCTGCCATGCCGGGCTGTCCAACTCTCGACTGGTTTCCAAACGCACCAAGCGCTTGCTCCACTCCCCGTCCCGCAGGCGCCTGCCCAGTCCACGGCGAGGGATGCAACACGCTGCTTGCCCACAAGCCGGATGTGACACGGACGGTGGGCATCTACCTGACGGAGGCTGGCATCATTTTTCACTCGGTGATGATCGGCATCACCCTCGGCGTCACAAGCGAATCGTTCAACACACTGCTGGCGGCCCTCTGCTTCCATCAGTTCTTCGAGGGCTTTGCGCTGGCCTCTGCCGCCGTGGACGCCGCGCTGGGCACCGCCAAGTGCATCATCATGGCTGTGGCCTACTCCGTCACCACTCCAGTGGGCATTGCGATCGGTGAGCATGAATTGGGGTTTGATGATGAAGGGTGCCTGGTCGCGAGTGGCTATCGTGTCCCGCCTTGACCTGCCGCCCCGTGACCTCCGCTCCTGTGCCGCCTGTTCCTGGTGCCCACAGGCATCGGCATTCGCGAGTCGTTCAACGAGAACTCCACTGCCACCCTGCTGGCCTCCGGCATCCTTGACTCGCTGTCTGCTGGCATTCTGATCTACGTTGCCCTGGTGCATCTCGTGGAGCCGCTCATGACGGACAGCGCCTGGCTGCACGGACGTGGCTGGCCGATGCAGGTCCTGGCGTTCATCTGCTTCTACTCTGGCGCAGGAGCAATGGCGTTCATCGGCAAATATGCATGAGCGGTGAGCAGACGCTTCCGGCAAAACCCAAGCCACAGGCCGCAAGCCGCACACGATTCAAACATGCCGCCATCCCCCGTCATTCCCTAACCTACCTTGCCCGACCCCCATGGAGTGCCTGAGCCCCTTGGGGGCGTGCGACATACTACTGAACAAGCTAAAGAAGAACAGCTGTCCCCATCCCCCCGCGTGTAACTTTGCCCACTTTGCCGGCAGCAAGTGGCATCCAGTTGCCTAGCTGTGGCCAGTAGCTGGGATCCTGCTATACTTACAGCGGGTTCGAGATTGAGCACATGCTTTGAGGTCTCGAGGCAGCATGCGTCAGGTCAAGGGCTGCGGCGGCACTGCAGGCGGCAGCAGCTCCACGTGGTGCTCCAGCACCTGCTGCACCTCTCCCAGCGAGCGAGCAATAAAGTGCGGCCGCTCCTCACCCTGCAGCTCCATCACGCTGCCCCACCGCCGCTCCTCATCCAGCAAAATGGTCACCGCCCCTGCCCGGTTGCCACACACAATCTGCGCAGGTAGACACATGCCACGGCAGGTTTCAGCCCTCTCCTCCTGGCCAGTACTAGCCAGCTCTTCCACATGCATCATCGGTGCTCCAAAACCCATTCCCATTCAAGGCAGCCACTGCTTTGTCCACCACGGGACACTTACATCATCTTTCGCACTGTCGCCCACCATTACGAGCTCCTCAGGAGGCACGCCCCACTTTTCAGCGATGTGCAGCAAGCTGGCAGGGTTTGGCTTGTATGGCGCAAACTCGCGTGAAAGAGCGGGAGTGAATGGTGGCAACGTGAAGTGGTGACGATGAAAAAACGCGATGGAGGCTGCGGCACAACAACGTGGGCGGGCATTGAATGGGGGGCTGTGGGTTCAAGCTGTTGGTCTTCAGCTGTTGGCGATGCAAAGCTTACCATTCACATTGCGGGTCACTAGGGCGCGTGGCACGCCACGCTCGTCCAATTTCTGTGACAGCTCGAGCACGCCTGGCATCAGCTGCATGTCTCGAAGGGCCTGTGCCTCAATCTCCGCTATTGCTGCGTGCGCTGCCTCCTGCTGCGCCACCGGCCACGAGGCGATGACGTCCAGGATGTCTCCTGCGGGCGGGCGGGGGAATGATCAGGTCTAGGCAGGCAGGATAGGCAGGCTCCCTAGGATAGACATGCACACCTTGTATGCCGTCCAGCCCCGCTACCGCCGCTACCCGGCGACGCATTTCCGCAAAGTCAATCACGGCACGTGTAAGCGTGCCGTCCATGTCTGCAGTGCAGTGGCGGCAGCACGATGAAGGGAGTGCCAGCACCCATCAAACGCATGTGGCGGCAAAGGCGGGTGGCGGCACTGACCAAATACAATGCCTCGCGCCACGCGATTTTCCACGCGAGTTTCCATCTGAGCTGAACGTTTCTGTAAACTGCTGAGTACGGGACCTGCTGAGGCTGCACGCACGGGCGGGAGCAGGCGGGGCAGCGGCGGCAGGCGAGGGCCACACAGATGTAACACACGGAGCATGTTCATCAGGGAGATGAGACAGCAGGATAGCGCGCCTCCCTATAATGGCTCTCTGCGGATGCTCTTCATGCGGCGTGCGCACGTGGCACCAAGGCCGTGCCTCATCACACAGGGGTGCCCCCTTCCCCGTGAAAAGTGGTAGAACAGTCTGCTACCATAGAGCGTACAGACCCTGCCGAGCCAGTGAACAGTTGTGTCCCAGAAGCAGCCGCGGCAGTTGAGTGGCTCCATTTGAGAATGGTTAGCTCCATTGGCCCGGCCACTGGCGTGGAGAAGGTTTGTGGCAGCCAGCCCTGGCCAGCACCAACGCGGCCAGGCGTGATCGGAGGCTGTTCGCTGCGGGTCCGGGAACTGGTGCACCACACAGCCATAGAAAGCAGTTGTTGGTGCCCTGTGCGGATGCCGCCGCACCGCAGCTCACCAACACTCGTCGCTGCGGGAACCCTCTCCGCTCGCGTCGCACCCTGACCGCAGCTCCAGGCGGAGCTAAAACGCAAGGCCGCTCAGCTGGATGCCGCCGACAATAAGATCAATCAGCTTACCACTGAGCTTAGCAGGGAGAAGGCGCAGAAGGCTGAGCTGTCTGCGGTAAGCTGCACCGGCTGGCGGCTGTTCCTGTGCTGCCGCTGCCTGACCACTGCTGCTGCTGCTGCTGTTGCCCGCCACTTACACCTGCACCCATTTGACACTGCAGACGCAGCGTCGCGAAAAGACTCAGGTGGCTGAGCTGACAGCACAGCTGGGCAAGGTCCAGGTGGGCGGACACGCTGCTCTGCCTCGCCGTGCCTCCCGACCGCATTAAGCGTTGTAGTGCCTTAGCTGCTGCCATCACGCCTCGAGCGCCTGCTGCAGGCTCTGCTGAAGCAGCGTGATGCCGCGTTGAGCAACGCGACGGCGGCGCTGGATGCGGCGCGCTCGCGGCCGGGCAGCGCCGTCGGCGTCGCCTCCATCACGCCCAGGGGCCCCCTCAGCCGGCAGAACAGCGACGAGGAGGCGCTGGTGGCGGAGGTGAACCAGAAGTCGCAGCGCATCAGGCAGCTGGAGTCGGAGGTGGCAGAGGCCAAGGCCTTGGCGGCGGCAACGCCACGGCACATCAAGGCCGAGTGCGCGTCGTGGAGGGACCGCAGCGAGAGCCTGATGGCGCAGGTCAAGGAGCTGCAGCGCGCGCAGCAGGCCAGCGACATCGAGAAGGCGCAGCTGGCCGACCAAGCAGCGGAGCTGAGCGAGAAGTGCGGGAGCCTGGAGCAGCAGCTGCGTGCGGCGCGCGAGTCGCTGGTGGCGCTGCGGGCCGTGGCTGACCAGGGGCGCGGCGAGCTCAAGGGGGAGCTGCAGCGCCGGGACTCGGACCTGTCGCGCATGATGGCACAGCAGGAGGCGCAGGCGGCGCTGGTGGATGAGCTCAAGGCGCAGGTGGAGAAGCAGGCGCAGGTGGGTGCGCCTCGCTGGCAGCACGATGTGAATGGCGTGCCCTGCTGCTGCTGCTGCTGCTGCTGAGCCCGCTTTGGGCTGACGTGGCTGTGTGGCTCCCCCAGACCAGCAACACCGCTGCTTCTTACGTCGGGTTGCGGCACGTGGCGTGCAGGAGAGGGAGCACCTGCTGCTTCAGGCCCAGCAGCTGCAAGTGCAGCTGGCCAAGGCGGGCGAGGACGCCAAGCAGAGCAACCTGCACGTATCGCAGCTGGTGTCGCAGCTGGACGAGAAGACGTTGGCGCTGGAGATGGCCGAGGTGGGTGAGGGCAGGGCAGCTGGCAGGCATGCAGGTGGTGCTGAAGCAGCAGTGCCAGAGCGGGCACTGTCAGCGCCACCTCCATTAAGATTAGTCATCGCTGCACCGGCCTGGCTTGCAGGCAGAGGTGAAGAACGTGACAGGCTCCAGGTTCAGCCGGGAGGCGTTTGTGACAGACCTGCAGACCAAGCTGGCTGAGGCGGCCAAGGAGAAGGCAGATACGGAGGCCCAGCTGCGCCAGGTGCGGGCATATGGCTGCTGGGAAAGCACGGCGAGGCGGCCGCTGTTGCAGCTGTGTTGTGCTCCTGCCGCCGTGCGCACGCTGATGCATTGAACAGCCAGCCTGCAGGCGCCACCCTGAGCTCAGCTATGCCTGTCCTCTGCCACCGACCGCAGGTGTCTGAGCAGCTGTCGGATGCGCTGGAGGCGAAGGAGCAGCTGCAGGATCAGGTCAAGGCGATGCGGGAGCGCGCCGAGGCGGGCGAGCTGTCCATGGCGGCGCTGAAGCAGCAGCTGGCAGAGGCGCAGAAGAACGCAGACATGCAGGAGCGGCGCTACTCGGTGCGGCTGGGCAGCTGCGTCGCTGCCTGCTCTGGGCTGCATCCTGCCATGTCGCCCTCGCCTGGCAGCCACCTGCTGTTTCCAGACGCTCCACCGTTCTGCTGGTGCTCCACGCCCCGGCTGCAGGAGGCTATGACTGCGCTGGATGCCAGGGAGCAGGAGCTGGGTGACAAGGCCAAGGAGGCGGCGGATGCTGTGACAATGCTGCAGCAGAGCCAGGTCAGGGTGGTGGGAGTACACCAGGGGCGCTGGTTGGTGACAAGCGCTGAAGGTTGTCGTCGCGCATGCTGGTCCTATATGAGCGTGGTTGTGCCAGCGGCAGGCACGAGTTGACTCATCCCGCTTCCATTGCATGGTTAATTCCGCAGGGTGCCATCAACCTGAGCCGGTCGCGTGCGGACCAGGAGGTAGCCGAGCTTCGGGAGCAGCTGGCCATGCAGGCGGCGGCGCTGGAGGGTCTGGAGGGGGGAGCGAATGCCGCCGCGGCCCAAGCCGGCAGAGTTGGACAACGTAACCGCCCGCCCTGCGGTGGGGTTGCTCCGTTCTTTTTCCTGCTGGCGCATCCTTGACCACCAGCCACCATGGGTTGCATGGGGTTGGGCAGGGGCATGCGGCAGCCTTGTGCTTGGGCTCTTCAAAGGGTTCATGGGACGGCAGGCGGGCAAACCAGCTGAAATCCGCCTCCTAACTGCCTTGCAGCTGAAGGGCGTCAACAGCCAGCATGTGGGCAAACTGGGCCAGCAGCTGGCGGCGGCCCACCAGGAGGCAGATGAGGCGCAGGAGCGCGTGCGCCTGGTGAGCACAGGAAGTTGGGCGCCTGCTTGGTGGCTGGGGCGGCAGGCGCCAAAGGGGTGGGTGTGCGGGGTCTGTAGCATGCCTGCTTTCCACCTGGCCTCACACATCAGCTGCCCCATGCTTGGCGCCTGCCTGCAGGCCAGCGCACGGTGCGAGGAGCTGGAGGCTGAGCTGCAGGCTCGTGACGAGGAGCTGGGTGAGTGGGCCAGCAGGATTGCAGCGATGGAGTCGCAGCTGAAGCAGATGGAGGCGCTCAACCAGAAGGTAAGCAAGCCAGGATGCGTGCAGGGAAGCTTGGTGGTGTGCAGCCGAGCGGTGCCCGTTACGGTGCACTTAGCAGGAACCACCCAGCCCTGATGTTGCAAGTTGCACCTGCTGGCATTCTGCCAGGAGCAGCTGCCTGTGCCATCCTTGACAAGCCCTGTGGCCATTCCTGCGCCGCCTGCCCACAGGTGAGCGAGGGGGAGTATGCTCTGCAGCGCGCCTCCACCCAGTCGGCCACCGTGGCAGCGGAGCTGGCGACCGCCAACGCCAGCCTGGCGGAGCGGCAGACGGCGCTGGAGATGGCGCACGCGGCGGTGGCGGAGAAGGACCGCAAGCTGGCACTGCTGGAGGTGGGTGGGTGGGGTGGGATAGGGCGGGGTGGACGGCTGTGTTGGCAGGGCGGCTTTCGCATGGAGGCGCCCATGGAGGCAGGCAGAGCCTTGGGGGCCTTGCTAGGTGGACAGCTGGGTGCTGGAGCTGTGCTGCCGCCCCACCACCACCTGCGCCGGCTGCTGCCGCAGACCGACTTGAGGCAGCAGATGGCGGCGGTGGACACCGTGGAAAGGCAGCTGCAGGGTGAGGCGCGAGGATGCCATGCCGCACCTGCCCGCTGGGCGCATGCTCTCTGCATCTGGTGGCTGAGGGGACAGCTTCTGCTTGTGCTGGCCGAGGGGAGGGCGGGCGACAGGGGAGCCCACCATGTCTCCGCACCTCTCACCGCCGCGAGCCGTGTGTTTGTTCGCTCTTTCAGAGGCGAATCACCCACCTGGTGTTGATCCCCTCCCTCGCCCGCGCGCGGCTGTGTCTGTGCTGCCATCCATCGGTGCAGATCGCGAGGATCGGCTGATGGAGCAGGAGCGCGGGTCGGCGGCGGTGCAGATGGAGATGGCAGACCTGAAGACAGAGCTGAGGACTGCGGAGATGGAGCGCCAGGACCTCAAGGTGCGCTGGTCCGGGAGGGCTGGGGCTGGTGGGCACTGGAAGGGACGCAGGCCATGTTGTTTCTGCTTCGCTCCACGTTGCCCGCTTGGCTGCCCAGCCGTCAGCCAGCCAGCCTCTTCCGCTACGACCTGTGCCTACCCTCCTCTGCCGTTCGCCCCTGCTTGCAGCGCGAGCTGGGCACCCTGCGTGGCGAGGCCGCCCACCTGTCTGCCTCGGTGCAGCAGCTGGAGGGGGAGCTGGAGGTTGCGCACAAGCGCATGCGGGCGCTGGAGGATGATCTGGAGGAGGCGCGGGCGCCCTACATGGCAGACCAGGGTGCGTAGCGGCAGACGGTTGTGCAGGGCGCAGGGCCCCTGGTCGTGCTGGGATGCAGCCTGCCGGGACATGCGATTGCTCGCGCTGTACTCCATGCCTGGCATGACACAGCCCCTGCCCTCCCTGCGTGCAGAGACCAAGCGGCAGCTGCAGGACACGCTGCAGGAGCTGGCAACGGAGCGGGCGGCGCATGACATGACTAAGCAGGCGCTGAAGCAGGAGGCGGCTGCTGGGGCTGCTGCTGCGGCGACGGTGGTGGCGGTGTCTCTCGAGCCGCTCGCGGCCATTCCCAGCCCACCCCAGGCGGCGGCTGTGCCGCAGCAGGTGGTTCAGATGGAGAGTGAGATGAACACGATGCAACTGGAGGAGGAGGCCGCCCCTGACAGCCCGCCAGCAGTGACCCCGGCAGGGACGGAGGATGTGGCGGTGACAGCAGAGGAGGTGGAGGAGGATGCCACAGCAGCAGCAGTGGTGCCAGAGGAGGGGGAGGAGGAGGCGGCACGTGCTGAGTGAATGAGTACCAATATCTGAGAATCGTGCACGGTGCACGTAAGCCAAGCCCAGTGAATGGGGCCAAATCCCCCAACAACCTTTTTTTTTTTTTACTTGTGTACTTGCATTGAGGGCCTTCACGCCAGTGATGCCTTGTTCCTACTCTTCAGCCATCCCCCGCGATGCTATCCTGCTTTCATGCTTTCATGCCCTGTCACCATTGGGCTCCCCAACGGTTTCTGCTTTTTTTCTGGGTGGACTGACCGGCATACTGTAATGTAACCCCATTCTTACTGGGCTGAGGACAAGCGGTCAGGTAGAGGCGGGCAGAAGAGATCTGTGCAATACGAGGGATGCGGTGTGTGCTATACCAGTAGGACATGTGCTGGGCGAGTTCCTGCGCCACCAGTGCCCCCTCACTCATATGTCACCCCAACATCTGACACCTTCAACAGGACCTTTGTGTTCTTGCCGCGGTCCTGGGCGTGGTCCAGCGCCTCCTCCCACTCACTGTGCAGCTCATACCTGTGGGGGCGTAGCATGGCAGCAGGGCGGGGGTGGGTGGGTGGGGTGGGGGTGGGGGGCAGCATTCCCCAGGCACTCTGACACATGTGTTGCCACCACCATTCCTCTCAACCGCTGCTCTCACTCTGTGAAGGTGGCCTGCAGCTTGCCGGCATTGACCAGCTTGGCCACGCTCTCCAGCATCGCCGGCAGCTTCTTCTTGCTGTCCTTCATCCACCGCCGCACGTTGAAGCCCTTGACCTGCAGGGCAGGCTGGCGGGCTGGATGACTAAGCCAAGGATGCACCTGACCCATGCCGGCAGAGCGCATCCGCCGCTAAGCCCATGGAGCATTTAAGCGAGCCTGGCAGGGGATGCATGTCGTCCCAGTGGGAGCCTCGACACCCGCACCTCCCCCCACACACACATACACACATCCCTGCCTGCCCACTGGCCGCACCTGGATGCCCTGGAACACCCACTGGTGCCAGCTGAACTGCGCGGCCTTGCCGCTCATGGCGCCATACACCACCAGCTGTGCGCCGTCTGCCAGCGCCTCACTCGGGCGTTGTGCGCTGGCGCCACCCACCGCGTCCAGCCCCAGGCACGGCTTGCTGTAAAACTTCTGCTTGTCCAGCTCCGCCTGCACAGCGGGTCCCACTTTGGTTGCTGCTGTGGGCATGGCTGTGGCTGGCACAGAGGCAACGGCCGCCCTGCTTTGTGGCGAGCAGCCAGGCTTACGGAACAAGCTCAGGATGAAGGGTGCGGTGGGCATGGCCTCATGAGCCAGCAGGTTGCTTCCCTACCACCACCAAGCCTCCCCCGCTTGCCTTGAGGCTGCCCCTGTCCAGCAGCACCTCTGCCGCGCCTAACGCGCGCAGCCACAGCGCCGTCTTCTCAAAGTCGCTCTCCCCGCTGACCACGGCAATGGCACGCAGACGCAGCAGGTGGCACAGCTGCACCACCAGCTGCCCCACGGTGCTGTTGGCGGCGTTGAGGATCACGGCATCGCCGGGCTGCAGGGGTGGGGCCGGGCAAAGGGGGGGGATCAGATGGCTCCGCTGCCGCGTGCCGCTTGCCCCTGCCTGCCCCGCTGCCTGCGGCTCCTTTCCAGTCACCAGCCTAGTCATCATCCCCTGCCTGGCTACATCCCGCCGCGCCGCCCTGGCCCCACCTTGAGGTTGGCGTCCTCCAGGAGGCGGTACGCGGTGAGGATCTCGCGCAGCATGGCGCACTGCTCCACCGGCATGATGTCGGCCGGCAGGCGCAGCAGGTCCTTCTCCTTGGCCACTGCAGACGGAAGGAGCAGGGGTGCAGGGGTGGTGTGTGTGTGGTGGTTTGTGTGTGGTGGCGCCCGTGGAATTGCCAACACACTCAGAGAACATGGCGGGGACAGAGCTTCAATACACATTTTGCCAGCTGGAGCTCGCCGCGCGCGCTTACCCGCCAGCGAGCGCCAGGTGCCCAGGTTGGGCTTCATGGGCACCACCCAGTCATTCTCGGCCAGCCCCTTCACGCCGGGGCCCACCTTGACCACCACCCCCACGCCGTCGTGCCCGGCCACAAAGGGTGGTGCCACGTGGTCTGTGCCATACATGCCCCCCGTCTGGACGGTGTAGATGTCGGCGGGGTTGATGGGCGCTGCCCGGATGCTCAGCAGCACCTCGCCCCACTCCAGCTCCACGGGCAGGGGCTCGGTGGCCATGGACAGCACTTGCTTGGGCTGCCCGCCCCGCTGGCACCGCACCTGCAGAGTTGATGCGTGGGCCGGTTGGTTGATCAGCAGGGCGAGTTCCAGGCCAGAGTTCTGCCATGCCCCCCCCCCCCCCCCCGTCCACTTATTCCTACTGGTGTTCCACGGGGGCTGGAGATGCTGCCCGCCCCCCTCACCTCGCAGCCATCGGCGACCCCACCTGCATTCACACTCCGCCCATCGCCAGCCACCCGCCTGCACCCCCACCCACCGTGTAGGCCTTGATCTTGGGCAGCGGCACAGCGTCGTAGCTGCCCTTGACCACGCCGTACTGGTCGATGATGTCCTCCTGGGTGAACACCTTGACCCCGGTCTGGCCCCGCGATCGCATCCAGGCCTGCAGACCAGGGGGCGAGGCAGTGGAGTGATGCGCAGCAATCCAGGTGCCAACCAGTGCTGGCCATTGTCCCAGTGAGGGGGGCCATTCCATTCCATCTGCCGGTATCAACACGAGTTGCCCCAGGCAGCAGCCCAGGTGCTGGCCATGCCCTCACCTCGAAACCCGAGGTGTGCGACCGCGAGTTTTCGTCCTGCCGCACCGTGATCTGGTCCGACAGGGTGGCCTCCTCAGCTGCCTTGCTGCGCACCTTGTCGCGGAAGCTGCCGCCTGCAAAGCTGCGGGGAGGCAAGCAGCCACAGGGGTTCTTCCACGTGCCGCATTCTTGCCACGTGCCGCATCCCTGGGTCAGTGCAGCATGCAGCGTCGTCTCCTCCTCTTACTCCCTCCCGCTCACCTGTCCATGAACTCCTCCTCCACCGTCCTCACCACCCGCCCGGTGGCATCATACTCCCGCCGCTTGGCGCCATCCGACAGCACTTCCCAGGCCTGTGGGTAGCTCGGTTGATGGTTTGGTTAAGACGGCAGGTAACAAGCAGCTCGGGGCAGACCAAGAGGTCGAAGGTATCCATGAAGATGTTCTGTGCAGAGTGGATGAAACCGGCAAAGCTTGCCTGCTGAATGGCGCGGAAGGTCTCTGGGTCGCCACCCTTGTCGGGGTGCGCCTTAGAGGCCAGGTTGCGGTATGCGCGGCGTATCTGCACCATCAGATTCAAGGGGCGATTGGAGTGGGGGCATGGGGTTGGTTTCCAAGTGCAGGGCGAGCCAGCCGCCAGCGGTGGCGGAAGATGAGCAGAGGCGGCGGCACAGTAGCACGGCTGTGTTAGCCTCTGCGGCCCCTGCAGAGCGCTCTGATTACCCACCTCCGTCTCGGTCGCCTTGCGCGAGATGCCCAGCGCCGCGTATAGGTGGACCTGTTCCTGCATGGTGGTGGATTGACGGCAGCTGTGCCAGGTAGGGCGCAGGGCGACGGAGAAGACGGTGCAGCCAAGTTCCAGCACGGATGTGCAGTCGCAGGTAGCAATGAGTGCTTGGAAGGGGAGGAGGCGGTCAAGGGCTGCGATGCCTGCTGGGGGCAAAGCCAGATGAGGTGAAAAGCGGTGGTCCCCGATACCCATTCTATAGCGTACTTGGTGTCGATAATGCCGGCCTTCATCAAAGCGGCGGGCTCCCGCCCAAACTCTCCTGCCTCGCACTGCCGAGCCCTGCGCTACCCGCGGGAGTCGTGCCTTCATCATCGCCGCCCTGATCGCCGCCAGATGGCTGTGTGCAGCAGGCAGCCCGGGCGGTGCCAGCCAGCGCCGCCGCCACCGCTACCGCCGCCGCAGCAACAGCATGTGCAGCACCTCTCGCAGCAGCAGGCAGACCGCCGGCACGTCCTAGCGCTGCTGGCAACAGCAGGGGGGGCAGTGGCACTGCCAGCAGCAGCAGCAGGAGCACCACCTGTTGCACCACTGCCGCCTCTGTCGGTGCCAGCACTGACGGAGACATTTCTCTCGCCCGAGGGCTTCGCCTTCAACTTCCCTGCTGACTGGGTCGTGGCATTTGACAGAAGCGGGTCTTCTAATGACGGCGCCGTCATTGGTACAGTGCGGCTTCTTCATGCGTCGACCATGATTGAAAAATTGGAGATGGCAAATGTTGCCTGCCTGCCACGAACATACTCCTAAATGGCTTCCCTCTGTTGGCCCTACTGCAGTGGTTGGCGACTTTAGAGCACTCATCACCGTGTCCGTGTTCCGGACAACCAACATACCAGAGGCGATCGTGCGTGCTGGTCTCAGCGAGGAGGCCGGGTACGAGATCTGTGTGGGCCCGCAGCAGCAGCAGGGGAGCACCCAGCGCTTTGAGTTGATCAGCAGCGCCATGGGCCCGCCGGCGGCGGGGGCGGAGCCAGGCTCGCCGCCGGCCTATGAGTACGAGTACTCAATTGAGAGCTGTGTGGGCGAGGTAGAGGAGGGCCTGGGCGGAGTTCTGAGGTGCATCGGCCCATTTGGCAACCTTCTTCCGACGCAGCGGCGACGCCACATTGGTCGCTGCGTCCTCATCGGCGCTAATGCATACTCGCTCAACGGCAGCAGCCCGGAGGACCGCTGGGAGCAGGTTGGGCCCATTCTGAGGGCGGTTGTCGGCACCTTCAGAGCCTGAATGCTGACCAATTATCTTGCAATGGATGCACGGTGTAATACATTTGCAATGTTGTCAAGCAATGGAACAGTGGGCAACGCAGTGCAAGTGTGGAGGTGGTGCAAAATTGGCAGTCGGTCAAATGCTAGACAGTGTCGGTCAAGCCTAGACAGAAAAGGCCGGTTGAAAACGTACCGCCTCATTAGTTGCTGCCACTGCCGCCACCAAACTCCCTGCTGCCACCCAGGTCAGCCACGGATCTCAGGTACTGCTTTGCCGCCAGGACCTGGCGCCTGGCACGAGCTAGCGGATCCTCGCTGCCGGCATCCTGTGGTGCGGTCCTGGCAGGAACCGCCTGCTGCACACCGCCCATCACAGCTCGCAGGGGCAGGGTTTTGCCGGCACCGCCAGATGATGGCATCAGGCCGTTGGTCCGTGGTGGTGGCAGGGGCAGGGCAGATTCCGATGAAACATTGTGGTATGAGCTGGGCTGCAGTCCGCCTGACACGGCCTCTTGTGCCGCACGGGATTGTGCCTGGCTGTTGCTGTTGCTGACTGCCGCCAGGGCAGCCGACACGCTGCGCCGCTGTGTGTTTGCAGGTGCCGGGGGGGCGGCTGCCAGCGTGCCAGCCAGCAGTAGCGAGCTGGAGCTGCCCTGTCCCAGGCTGCCACCTGCCAGAGATGCACCAAACAAGGGCAGCGGCAGGGCCGCTGGCACATCCAGCTCTGGTGGGGCTAAACTACTGGTCGAGGCAGGCAAGCCAGCACTTCGGTACGCTGATGCAGCCTCAAGCTCATGCAGCCGCCGTTGCTGCTCTGCCAGCTCCCGCTGCCGTTGCTGCTCCGCAACCTCCTGCTGCTGCCGTCGCTGCCAGTCCCACTCCTGCCGCTGCTCCTGTTCCTGCCGCCGCTGCTTCTCCTCAGCCCGCTGCATCCGCTGCAGCTCTGCCTCTCGATCTTGCAGCAGCTGCTGCTGCTCCGCCAGCTGCTGGTCCAGCCGCTGCCGCTCTCGCTCAAACTGCTGCCGCTCAGCGGCCAGCGCCTGTTGCAGCTGCTGGTCTGCCACCGCTTCCTGCCGCCGCTGCAGTTCGGCAGGCAGCATGCTGTTGCTCTCTGCCAACTGCACAGTATGCGCAATGAGCAATAGTGCAGGGGGTGACTGCACTCGCTGACCCTGCTCTGCCATCGGAGTGCCGCCGACCTGCGATCCCAGGTCCGCCATTGCAATGCAGGATGCAAGACATCGCCACGCATGCCACCTCCAGCTGCTGCTGCAGCGCACCTGCTGGGACGCCTGCTGCCCCACCAGCCGCGCCTCCTCCACAGCTCGCTGGAACGTGGACAACTTGCCCGCCAGCGTATCTATGTGGCGGTGCAGCTGCTGCTGGTAGGCGTTGGTGGCTGCACGGTGGCCCTGCTGCTGGTGGGGTGCAGCTGTGGAGTGATGTTCGGCTTGCAGGTCGCAAAACACATCGCGACTGCCAACTGGGGAGGCCGTCTCAGCCACCGAGCCTTCCAGCTCCTCAGACGCACCCATGCTGCCAGGCGCCACAACCTGCAGCCTGCTGCCAGCTGCTGCGCCTGCGGTGACGGCAGCTCGCTGGCCCACGCTGCGGCTGCTGCCTGCATGCCGTGCCGGGGAGCTGCCATGGGTACTGCCGGCGCCATCAGCGCGCCGGGGCGGCAGTGGCTGTGGCGCCACCACCCCGGCCTCCAGCCGCAGGTGCTGTACCTGCAGGCGCAGCGTCTCGGTGTCGCGGTGCGCCGCCTGCAGCTGGCGGTTGGCCAGGTCCAGAGCCTGCTGCAGGGTGGCGCGCTCCCCTTGGGCCGCCTCCAGAGCACGCTCCCACCTCGCTGCCACCTCCAACTCCCGGCTCTCCATTAGTTGTGCATGCAGCTGCCGCTCCTGCTCCAGCTGGTCGGCCAGCAGCTGGGCGCGCTCACCAGCAGCTTGCACCTGCGCGCAGCACAGAGAGCAGGGGATGGGAGGAAGGTGCCAGAAGGCTGCCAGCAACAGATGCCACATAACACTAAGGCCCAAACCACACAGGAGCTGCCACGAGAGCCAGCCGTCCCGCCACCCAAGCCGCTGGGTCCCTGGGCCCCCACCTTGGCCTCGGCCGCCTCTGCTGCCTTGGCGCAGTCGTTTCGCTCTGCCTCCAGAACCGCCGCAGCCTCACGCAGCTGTGCTGCCAGCTGCTCCTGCTCCTGCGCGTCGCGCCGTGCCGTGTCCTGGTGCAGGCGTGCGGCATCCAGCAGACTGGTGGCGCGGGCATGAGCTGCTGCCTCCCGCTCCAGTGCCGCCTGCGCCGCCGCCGCTGCCTCCCGAGCATCCGTCGCGGCCTCCTCTGCCGCCTGCGCGCGCCCTCGCTGCTGCCCAGCCTCCTGCCGCAGCTCTGACAGCGCTTCTGTGAGCTCTGCCGCATCCATCATCGCGCGGTGGTACTGCTGCTTGGCCTCGCTCGCCTCGGCCTCGGCCTCGCCCAGCGCCGCTGCCAGCTGCGCCACGCTGGCGTCGCGCTCTTCTTGCAGCGCGGCGCGCGAAACGCGCAGCCCCTCCACCTCCCGCTCCAGGTCTGTAATGCGTGCCATGCGCATCGCGTCGGCAGCCCCCGCATCCGCCGCCAGGCTGTCGTACTGCGCCTCCAGCTGCTGCAGTGTGGCCAGCGCGCCCTCAAACTGCGACACCATGCGCTGCATGGCCAACTCCTGCTCTGCAATGCGCGCCTCTGCGCGCTGCAGCTGGCTGCGCACATGCTCATTCTCCTCGACCAGCGCCGTCGCACGCTGGCGCGCCTCGCGCTCCGAGGCCGCTGCCGCCGACACCTGGCGCTCATAGCCTGCGGGGCACATGAGGGCAGCACCATGTGGGTGGAGACCTGAGCATCCGGGCCCAACTCACACCCCAAATGTCTTGCCTGCCTCGCCATTTGCGTCCCTGCCATGCCGCGCCCCTCACACCACCAACCTGCAATGACCTCTGCCTTGCCCTTGGCCGCCTCGCTCTGCGCCACCGCCACCTCCTGCTGGCAGCGTGCCACCTCTTCATCCCGCGAGGCCCGCGCATCTGCCACCTGCCGCTCACACAGCTCCACCAGGTGCTTCTGTCGCTCCTCCAGGGCTGCCACCCTGTGGCAGGCAGGGGTGGGCGTGCGGCATGTGACGATGACACGGCAGCAAAACACAAGGCTGCTTCTGAGGGGGAGGTGCTTCTCCAGCAGCACTCAGCATGGCCCACCTGGCCTCCTTGTCCCGCAGCGCTGCCTCCCTGCAGCCGAGCGTGTGGCGCGCCTCCTGCAGCGCTGCCTCCCGTGTGGCAGCCGCCTCCCTGAGGCCAGTCATCACTGCGTCCACCCGCTCAAGCTCTGCATCCCGCTCCTCCAGCAGCTGAACGGCGGAGAGGCAAGGGTTGCCCATGAGGCACTCGGCAGAGGCATTTGCAGTGGGAAGCGGGCGGCAATGGCCTGCTAGCTGACATTGCTGCCCAACATGTGCCTGGCTGCATCCAACCCAGACTCCTGCTGCCACCAAATTGCTGCCACAAGCCAGACCTTCAGGTTGAACTTGAAGTCGGCGGTGAGCTGCGCGAGCTGCTGCCGCAACAGCACCGCCTCAGACTCCTTAGAGGCCAGCAAGCCCTGCAGCTGCTGCTCCCCGGCGCCACGTAGACCTGCCGAAGCCGACCTGCTGGCCGGGCGGCTGGAGAACGCGGTGGCCATCGGAGTGCGCCCATCATCCTGCAGCAGCGGATGTGATCCATCGGCGGGAGTGGCAAACGCCGTGCCGTCGCATTCTCCGACCTGCCCCTGCCAGCAACCACCCGCCCTCCCTTGCCACTTGCCCCACCTCCAGCAACGCAGACAAACTCCGAATAGTGGCCGCGGGCGATTGCAGCTGCTGGGGCGTGGTGCTCATGGGCGGCTGAGGAGGCCTGGGTGCTCATGAGCTGCCAAGGAAGGGTGACAGGCGGGCGCCATGTTCGAAGTGGCAGTCGCGCAACAAACACGGCAACGGCGCCGTCTTTCGTCTCCGAAATCGATTTGACGGATTGGGCGAGGCGGCAATGGCGCCCGGGCACTCTGCGGGCCCCATGGGCGCCCATGGCCCGGGCCCCGCCACAACTCGCCTTTCCACCACGGGATCGCGGCGTGTGTGGCCAATACCACCGCCCCCCAAAGCGCATTGTGCACTGTGCTGATCCATCGCCGCCCAGCGACCCCTGTCAAGTTGTGTGCTAAACTCGCTCGTTGCCATGTCGTCCCTCACCTGTGCCCTTAACCTGAGCGCTCTGAGCACCACAAAAACCGTGTCCAGCCGGGTGGCGGTGGCCAGCCGCGCCGCCTTTTTCACTGGAGTTCCGTGCCGGAGCAAGGCGGCGCCGGTGGCGCCCACTGTGCGCACTGTGCAGCCGGTGCGCGCCCTGTTTGGTGGCGGTGCGGCCACTGCTGGCAAGTTCTACGATTACACCGTCAAGGCAGGTTGCAGTCCACAGAGCTGCCTGGCAAGGCCTATTTGGCGGAGGGTGTGGGTGTGGGCGGGTGCCGGCTTTTGCTGGCGGTGCTTCGCTGCCGCCGCAGCTGCCAAAGCTACTACCTGGGCATGCTTCCTGCTGGAGAGCTTGGCGGGGAAGGCAGCAGCATGATGTGAGACGAGGGGGAGGGGGAGCTGAAGGCTGTCCTGCAATCTGGCCACCCCGCAAACCCCTGCTAGCAGTCTATAGATGGACAGGACATCAAGATGGACCGCTACAAAGGAAAGGTGCTGCTGATCATCAACGTGGCCTCGGCCTGTGGTGAGTGAGCCAGTACTGAGGCCGGTGTGGCGCCTGGGGTGAGGCAACCTAATGCTTATATCATTTTTTTGCCATACGCTCGGCAGCACATCTGAGCCACTGGGTCACTTTGGATCGCCCGCAGGCTTCACGCCACAGTACACCGAGATGACCGAGCTGTACAACAAGTATGCCGCCAAGGGCCTGGAGGTGCTGGCCTTCCCCTGCAACCAGGTGGGCTTCAGCCGCGTGCCCATGATGCGTGCGCCCGTCGCCTGCTGCTCATGGCATGCTTATCCACGATGCGCTGCAGTTTGGCAGCCAGGAGCCGGGCAGCAACAGCGAGATCAAGTCCTTTGCTGAACGCAAGGGCTTCAAGGGCCCGATGTTTGCAAAAACAGACGTCAACGGCAGCGAGGCCGAGCCGCTTTTCACATACCTCAAGAATCAGCAGGGCGGGCTGCTGACCAGGTGAGAGAAGGGACGTGAGCCTGCGCAAATGCGTGTGCGTGTTGACATGCCCACTGCCCGCCTACTTGGGAACACCTTTTCACTGTTGCTTTGCGCCTCTGGCCACCGCTTGCTTGAACGCAGTGACATCAAGTGGAACTTCACGTGAGTGGATTGCCAGCACAGGCGCCCCTGATTTCGACCCCCCATGCTGTGGCATGCTGCGCCAGCTGTGCTGTGCACACAAGACTACGTGGCTCCTGGCCTTGCGCTTCTGGCCTGCTGCTCACTCTCACTCTCTCTCTGCGCCCTGCCCTGCAGCAAGTTCCTGGTGGACCGTAGCGGCAATGTGGTGAAGCGCTATGGCAGCACCACGACCCCCATGGCCATCGAGGCGGACATCAAGGCCCTGCTCTGAGGCATGCCGGGCGGGCGGACGCAGACGCACAGCCGCGAGATGAGAGCCCCAGCAGCCAGCCAAACCCAGGCTAGCTAGCACTGCATGCTGGAGCTCCGCCACTGTGTCCCTGCTACGGGTACCCCTTGCCGATTTTTGGGTTCTCCCTGCTCTCAGATTTGATTCCCGCTCCCTTTTAATGTCCTCATCTGATGTTCGCTTTCGCACGTTACAAGAACACAAGGCGAATATGAAATGAGCCGGGCGCGGTAGTATGACCGAGCGCGCATGAGAAGGCGTGTTTTGGCGCAATGGCATAGGAGCAGGGTTGTTTTGGTTCAGAGGGATCAAATGCAAGAAAGCAGAAGGTGGAGGGACAGAAAACAGTGCCTGCAGATGAAAAGATGGGTGCGTGCGTCGGTTTTTGTACAAAACTAGGGGCGGTGCACAAATGGAATAGGGTGGAGGATGGGCGGGCCGGGGCAGATGGCGTCCAGGCCGCGCCCTACCGCATGTACAGGGTAGAACAGAGGAGCGGGGACGAGGGACGTGAATCGAGAGGGCGTAAATGTGGGGCGAGAGAGGTGGCCGCCATACGTAAGTGGAAAGGGAAAACCTTGACACTCAAAAACCAGGCGGAACATGATTCACTAATGCAGTGCAAGGAGCCCAACAGGCTAGACAATTTCAGCTTGCAGCTTACGGTATGACATCATAGCTTTGCGCGGGCACGGCCCTTGCATGCGTAGAGAAGATTGGAGGGATCAATCACGGCTGTCAGCTGGGGTGGGCAACATGCGACGCAGAACGTCATTGCATGTCACAGCAGCACATGCTACCGCGTTCTACTGCCGCTGCTGCCCGGGCTGCTGCTGACCAAAGGCCTCATCCAGGGGGACCATGCCTGCTGGCGCCCCCGGTACTGCCGCGCCGCCAGTCGCCGCGGTGGGCGAGCCGATCAGGCTGTTCCAAAACTCGTTGTTGGCGGCGCTGTTGTCGCTGGCGGCCGGCAGGAGGAAGTCTTGTGACGACAGCACGTCGCCCAGGTCCTGCGGCAGGAACCCGACAGGGAAAATAGGTGAGCAGCTCTTGGATGATGAGAAGCGAAACAGCACAGCAGAACAGCGCAGAAGCTGACAAGATGTGCAGGACCCAGCCCACGGCGCAGCAGGCATGGCAATGCAGTACCCAGGGTGCCACTCACCAGGTCCACATTGCCCAGGCCCAGGCTGTCCAGGTCTGGCAGCTCCACGATGGGGTTGCTGTCGGTCAGCGGCGGCACCGCCACGCCATTGGGCGTGGGCACCGGCAGCGGCAGCGGCAGCACGGCATTGGCACCGGCGCCGCCATCCACCGGCACAAAGCTGGGCAGGCCGGCGCCCGGCCCGGCCGTGTTGAAAGCTGCTGCCGCTGCGGCGCTGGTGCCGGGCACTCCATCAAAGGGACCCACCATCGGCAGCCCGCCATAGCCAACCACAGGCGTGCTGCTGAGCATCATGGGGGCCACGTCGCCCGCTGTTGCCGCCGCCGCGCTGTGCATGCCGCCGGCGCCGCCTGCCGTGGGGATGGCGGGCATGGTGGTGGGCACAGCAAAGCCGCCGCCAGTGCTGGGTGCCTCCTCAATGATGGGCCCGGCGGAGCGCCGGACGCTGCCTGCACCATCGCGCCTGCCCCGCCCGCTGCGTGACTTGGGTCGGGGGTCCTGCGTGCTCAGCATCTGCATGAAGGCCTGCGCCAGGTCAGCCAGGCTCTGCTGCGGCTGCGATACCGCCAGCGCCTGCATGCCCTGGTCGTCGGGGCTCTCCATGCCATCGCTGTCGGAGTCGGACGCACCCTTGCGCTTCTTGCGCCCTGCAGGCAAGGCAACGCGAGACGGGCACAAGCAGTCGGTAGGGGCGGCAAAGGGGCGGCCAGAGGCGCAGCCCCCGCGGCGATCGACACACGGCTGTACAGAAACAGATGCACACGACTGCCCCCTTGCTGGCGTCCTGCTGCCCATGGCTGCTGGTTGGGCCAGCTACTCACGTCTGCCGTCGTCAATGCGCTTGATCAAGGGCGTGGAGGCCACCAGGTGCTGCACCAGGCCTGGGTGCTGCAGCGCGGTGGCCAGGAAGCCAATCATCTGCTGCTGCCGCTGCTCCTGCAGCTCTAGCCGGTCCTGCAGCTCACCCAGCACCTCGGCAGAGTCCTGCAGGAGGAGGCAGTTGAGGAGGGTGGTTGGTGCTGTGAAAGCTTGGGGGCATCGCCGGTGCTGTGAAAGCATGGGAGCACCGCCGCGCGATCTTGGCAAGAAAGCGTTGGCCCACCCTTGTGTGCCCACCAACCGCGCACCTGCTGCTGCTGGCGCAGGCGGATGACCTCCTGCATCAGAACGCCCTTGTCGCGCTTCAGCTGCTCCACCTCCTGCTGCAGCCCGTAGTGTCCAACCTCAATGATGGACTGGCGGTCGTCAGCGTCATGGTGGCCGGCGCCGGCGCCGCCGCGGCTGCGCCGCTCGCTGCCGCTGGGCTTGCGGCGGTGGATGTCTCCCAGCAGGTCGCGTCGGCCACGCAGGAAGTACTCGTTGGCAAACTCCCAGCGGTCGGGGTCCACCTTGCGGAAGCCCTGCGAGCAACAAGGGGGGGAGGAGGTGGGGTGTCTGGGGGGTGGTGGCACCTCCCTGGGCAGCTCTGCAGCGGAGGATCGGTCCACTCACATAGGTATTAAGCTGCCGCACAAAGCTGGAGAAGTTGTTGTGCTTGAAGTGCAGGGGCAGCAGGTCGCGCGCAAATTCGGCAGGCTTCCACACGACGAAGCTGCAGGCAGCGGTTGCGAGGGCGCTGCGCGGGTGAGTGGCATAGCAGCCGGCCGCGGCGGCGCAGGGGCGGGTGCGGGCCGGCGTCACAACATGCAAGCGGTTATGCCAGGCCTCCAGGGCTGCGCTGCTTCAACGCGGGCTGCTCACCTCTGGCCGTCGGCTCCCCACGAGATAATCGGGTCCGAGATGGCCTCGTCCACTAGCTCATACCTGCAGCAGCGTGGGGGCAAGAATTGAGCACCCGTGGCAGTGTTCAAGGCGGTGACCGGGGCTTGCAGGCGGCCCGCGGCACTCACGTCTTGGTGAGGAAGGGTGGAGGCGCGTTGCGGGCCTCCTTGGCCGCCTCCGCCGGGGTGTAGGAGCCACCCCCGCGGGTGTTCATCTTGGGAGGGGTGCGCCTGGACTTGGGGAGCGCCAGCTTTGCTCGCGTAGCTTCTCGAGACAGGGGGAGAGGCTGGGGAGTCGGGGAGGGTGCTGGGCAAGACACTGTCGCAAGAACGAGGTGTTTGTCAGGCTGAGGAGGCCATTAGCTCAGCCATTCTCCTGTCTTTCCATTTGCGTCCCGTGCCAGCGGTGTTTACCCTATCGGAGCCTAATTCTTGCCTATCCAGCCCTACCCAAGGCAATCGCAGGCCCTAGGGGCTCCAACGTACCTCAGTGTGATCCTGCTGTGCGTCATTATGCGGGCCCTTGCGCTTTCGCTGTGCTTGGCAGCAACCTGCGGCCTGGCGCTGGCGAATGAGCAGCGCCGCCTGACCATGAAGCCTCTGAGCCTGGCAACTCCTACCGCCGCCACCACCGCCTCCGACGCGGCCCCAGGTGTACCAGTTGCTGGTTTGTCTGGGAAGGTGCAGGATCCCCTCCTTCTCACCCACCCCTTCCGTCCCTTGAACCTGCAGAGCGATTTTCTGGGTACTTTGCTCTGAACCGCACTTACGACGCGCACATGTTCTTCTTCTACTTCCAAGCCCGGAGCGACCCGGAGAACGCCCCTGTTGTGCTGTGGATGACAGGAGGCCCGGGATGCAGTTCCGAGCTGGCTGTCTTTTTTGAGAACGGCCCCTGGACCATCAACCCGGATGACCTAAGCCTCACTGAGACCAAGCACGGGTACGTGCGGACTGTTGCAACGGACTTCAATGGACCTTCCTTCCTGCCGCTCACAGTGTCATCCTTGTGCTTGCAGCTGGGACACAAACCATCACATGATCTTCGTCGACCAGCCAATCAAGTGAGCGCCCACCCCCACCAGGGTGGCGCAGAGGAGGGTGGCTGGCAAGACGCTCACTCATGAGTCCATGTGCCGCCCTGCTTTGCCCCCTTTGCAGCACAGGCTTCAGCTACAGCGCAGATTCGCGAGACTCGTGCTATGACGAGACATGTGTGTCCAACGACATGTGAGTTTGTTTTGCGGGCTTTCGCTGCTTAATGCCGTTTCTGCACCACACATGTTGGGCATGTCCTGATGGCTGGTACCCCTTGCCCACAGGCTGGACTTTCTGAGCGAGTTCTTCAAGGCGCGGCCTGAGCTGCAGGGCCGCCCCTTCTTTGTCACAGGTAGCCCCTGGCCGGCCATCCATTTGAAGCCACCCGAGAGCGCCAGCCACCTGTTGTGAGGGCGCCGCTTATCAGGCATTGCCTCGGCTCCTGTTGGGCCTTGTTCTTCCTGCAGGCGAGAGCTATGCAGGCCACTACGTGCCGGCAGTGGCCAGCCGGGTGTTCCACGCCAGCAAGTCGGGCGAGGTGGAGCCGCCCATCAACCTGCAGGCACGTTCTTGCTTGCCTAGCCTGCCGCCTTGTTGGCCACTGAAGAGTGCCTCACCCGGCCTGGCTCTCTCTGTCTCCCCCCCTCACTGCAGGGCCTGGCAATAGGCAATGGCCTCACCGATCCTGCGATCCAGTATGGGGCATACAGCGACTATGCTCTGATGAACGGCCTCATTGGACAAGCCCTACACGATCGTCTCAAAATGGTAAGCTGGTGCGCAGCTGGTTGTGCCTGTGCTGTGTTCAGGCAGGTACCTGTGGTCTCCAGGCATGTCAATTGGAGAGTTGCTCCGTGTTGCCTTTACTGCTTCCCTTCCCCCTCCGGAGGCTGCAGCTCTACCCGTCGTGCCGCCTGGCACTGGAAGTATGCGACGGTTTGGACTTTGCCTTCGAGTGCCTACTCGCGGTACAGTGGTGCCAGATGTCTCAGTTTGCGCCGATAATGCTGGTTAATGGTGGTATGAATGTGTATGATATAAGAAAAGAGTGCGAAGGCCCACTGTGCTACCGCGAGTTTGAGGTGCTGGACAAGTACCTGAATCAGGTGCGTGTGGGCAGAGAGGGCGATGGATGTAGGAGCTGTCACCCTGCGCCACAAGTTTCCTAATCCTAACCCTAATCCTACTGAAACATGTTTCCAGAGAGCCAGCGCCATCAACTCGCTGTGTCTTGCAGGATGATGTGAGGGAAAAGCTGGGCGTCGGCGACCTGCGCTGGGAGGCTTGCAACATGGAGGTGCACTCAGGTAGAGTGGATGCGCCTCGAGGCTGAATTTTGTCTGACATGTCCTGTCAGCTGGCGCGTGCTGTCATCGGCTGAAGCTGCTGCAGCTGATTGTTCTCGCTCCTACTCCTACTTTGCTTGTTGCCGAGATGATGAGCGACTGGGGCCACAACTACGACATTGTGCTGCCAGAGATGCTGGCGGCCGGGGTTCGGGTGATGATCTATGCCGGCGATCAGGTAATAATACATTTTATTATTCCTTTCATCAATCAAATCAGTCATCAATCAATCAATCATCAATCAATCAAAGCAGCCCCCCCTCCCATCGCAAGTCCTATCCCTAACCTCACCTCCTTTCCACGCGCCTCCTCTCCCCGCAGGACTTCATTTGCAACTATGTTGGGAACCAGCAGTGGGTGGATGTGCTGCCCTGGCACGGCGCCAAGCGCTGGGCTGTTGCGGAAGACGAGCCGTGGACAGTTGAGGGCGTGGCCGCGGGCACCGTGAAGTCGGTGGGACCGTTCAGCTTTGTGCGCGTCTTCAAGGCGGGCCACATGGTGCGTCAGGCATGGTTGCAGCCAGCGCTGCTGACTGGGGCCGAGACTTTCTGTACATGGCAGCCACCATGTTGCCGTTTGTACTCCTGCTCTCTGCCACTGCGTCATGTGTACTGCTGCCCCCCCCAAACAAAAACCAAGCCATGCGCCAGCGCTGCCCTGCCCTGCCGCTCCCCTCCGCCAACCTGCCAACTATAAATGCAGGTGCCCATGGACCAGGCGAAAAATGCGCTGGACATGATCACCCGCTTCACACACGGCCCTACCTCAGCAGGCACCAGCAAGCGCGTGTCGGGCGCCACCTGGCAGCTGCGCAGGGCCATGCCCGGCAAGGACGCCGTGCTTTTCGCCGGCGCCGAACAGTGATCTTGCCCGTGGAGGGAGATGGCAGGCAGCGCATGCCTTCTGGTAGCGTGGCGCCTGCTCACGAATCCACTACCTCTGTCACCATTCTCTGGTGCTGAAGCCCCTCTGTATGCCCCTCTGTATGCCCCTCTGTACCACCCCGCATCTTTCATCGTCTGCAACCTGCGCGTGCATGCGTCCCTCCCAAGCCTCAATTTTGCCTGTAGCTAGCGTGCTTGTCACCAAGAGGCACATCAGCACACCATGTAATATAAACAAGGATTCAAGGTGAATGGGCAGGGAACCAAGCTCAGCCCCCAGCCCTGCCACGGCTGGCGCCATTGGCCGCGCCGCTGCCGCTACCACTGCTGCCGGCGCCAATATGTTGCTGCTGGGCTTGATGTGGCTGTTGCAGGGCTTTCAGGAGGTCCCCAACCAGGTAGAGCGAGCCCGTGACCAGCACCTGCATTCGCAGGTTGGGTATCTCGCGCACACACCGCCGCAGCCAGTCCAGGGTGACGCTCAGGCTGGGGAGCACGGCGGTGCGGACTGCGGGGCGCTGCGTCGCTGCGGCTGCCGCCGCCGCGGCAGGAAGGCCTGGTGGCAGGACGGCTGGCAGCAGCGGGAGTGGCAGGGCCGGTGGTGCTGCTGCTCTACAGGGTACAATGGTGCCGCTGCTGCCTGCAGCTGTGGTGGTCATGGACTCCCACACTGAGCGCAGTGAGTGTTGCCAGGTCAGGTTGGCTGGCTCTGCGCTGGAGCCAAGCTTCATGTAGGTAGAATCGGGGGGCACAAAGAGGGCATGGTGGATGCTGACCTGGCGCTCTGTCAGCGCTTGCGCCAGGGGCTGAAGCAGGTTCTGAGGGTCGCGCTCCTGCACATGCCAGCGAGCAACGGGCAGACAAATTGAAAAGATGAGGAATGGGACCCTGTTGACACCAGGCAACAGCACAGCGATGTGCAGCCACAGCGGTGTGCAGCCCTCGATGTACCTGCATGCAGTTGAACAGCAGGATCCGCTGCGTGACCAGCCCCTGCTGCAGCTGTGTGTCAGGCCGGCCCGCTGCACCCACTCCTGCTGCTGATGTGCCTGCCGCTGGCGGCTGGCTGGCATCTGCAAACCAGTGGGCGCAGGTGGCCATGCTCTCTGCCGTGTGGGCTCCATCCAGGAAGAAGGACAGCCGTGGAAGCCGCTGCCCTGGTCCCTGCTTGCCCACTATGCTGTTGCCGGCCAGCTCCCGCTGCTTGTCCACTGCCGCTGGCGACATGGTATCAGCCTCCACCACCACATCGTGCACAATGTGCCCTCGCCCTGGCCAGTTGGCCGCCTGCAGCCCTGCCACGTACTCTGGCGGCAGGTGGCCCGCCTGCACAGCCGCCGCACGTGCTGCTGCTGCCTTCGCTTTCAACGCTGCCGCTGCAGGGCTGGTGCCCTCCCATGTCCCCGCCAGTGCCACTGCCAGCGCCGCATTGAGCTTTTGATGCTCGCCTGCCAGGCCCAGAACCACATCTGCTGCTCCGGCATAGTCCTCCCAGGCGCGAACCTGCGCCAGCGGCGTCCCCACCGCCGCCGCACGTTCACGCAGCGCCTCCGCCGCATCCTCGCGCTGCGGCACTGTAAATGCTGGCACCCCGGGCTTGAAGATGCCCGCCTTTTCTCTCGCAATTTCCGGGAGTGTGTAGCCCAGGAGCTCCATGTGATCAAAGCCCAGGCTGCTCACGCCGCACACCACAGGATGCCGCACGCAGTTGGTGGCGTCCAGACGCCCGCCCAGCCCCACCTCCAGGATCACCACGTCCACCTTCTGCTCCAGAAACACCTTGAAGCCTGCACTCCAGGTGCACAGTGGGGTCACTGGGCCATGGGGGGAGCATTGCCGAGCCAAGCTCTGTGGCGTTGCCACGCCAGGAAGCATGCCCCTGCTAATCCATTCGGTGCTGCCGCTTCAGACGGCGCTCAGTCCTGCCAGACTCGCACATGGGCAATCACTGCAGCCCAACCCGCTGCCACTGCCGCCTGCCACTCACAGAGCAGCGTGAGGAAGCGAAAGTAGGCGGGCTTGCCAGAGTCGTCACTAGCCTTCTCCTCCAGCTTGTCAAAAATCCACCACAGGTTGCGCAAGAAGGTGGCGCGGTCCAAGGGCTCGCTGCAGAGGAGGGGCGGCGTGTGGTAAGTAGCTGACAACGGTTTCCAAAAGGAAATCAGCCTGCCTGTGGAGCATTGGCAATCTGCACTTGGCCCGTTTCCCATCCATCCCTCTGCCATCCATGGCCATCTCCTCCCATCCAACCAAAGCCTACCCATTGATACGGATGCGCTCGCGCACGTCAATGAGATGAGGGGAGGTGAAGAGCCCGGTGCGGTAGCCGGCCTCTCGCAGCATACGCTCAATCATAGCGCAGGTGGAGCCCTTGCCCTTTGTGCCCGCCACGTGGATCACGCTCAGCTCGCCCAAAGGCTCTTCAAGGCTAAGCCGCTGCATGCACAAGAGGTGGCAGCAAGGGTGAGCAAGGAGCAACATGTGGGTGCAGTGTGTGTTTGGCGGGTCGTCCTGCCAGAAAGGCCAAAACGCGGCACCAAGCACCCTGCTCCTTGCGCAACCGCTTCCCAACAGGCACGGCATGGCGGATGGCTGGGCCACTTGCCTCCAGGTATGATTGCATCATCTCAAAGGCGTGTGCCCACATGCCGGTGTCTTTGCGCTGACGGCCCGAGATGAGGGAGCTGAGCGCCGCCAGCGCACGCTCATACTCTTCTTCCTCACTCTCCTGCCCCGGCGCAGCAGAGCCGTGTCGAGGCCCTTGAATCATTGCGCAGTTTCTTCTGCCTTGCCGATGCAAGAAGGTGGAGGCAGTGGCTGCAGGCGGGGTGGAGGCACGGGCATACGCTCACCTGCCTGCCGCGCTCGCTGGGCGGTGGCGGCAGGCGGCAGGAAGCAGGGCGGGGCGAGGGCCTTGCTGCTAGGGTCATCATCGATCCCATCACACAGCGGCTGCTCTGCATGGAGACTGCGGCGCAGAGTAGCCTCAATGGGTGTAAAATCACCCACCCCAGCAGTCTCCCCGGACAAACGTTCCAGCCCTGTACGATAACCGCAGTGGCTTAGGCAGCTTTGCTACAATTGCGTTGCCTGTTACACCCTCCCTTCAGACCTGTAGAAACATCAGCCAACCTGGCTGGCATCTCCCTGCGGTTTGCGGACCTGTCTCATTGCCCACGACTCCTCGTTATGCCCTGCAGCAGCAAAAAGGCAGCGGCAAAGGGTGCGTTGACTTGACTCGGACTTCCGCCATGCCGCCGTTCGAGTGGGACGGGAGCGAGGAGAAGGCCAGGTGCGCGTTAAATGCCGGCCTTGTATGTCGAAGCGGCTCTGTTGACCTGCCTCGCGCGCTGGACATCACCCACCACTGGCCGCCGCCCCCGCAGGGAGCGGCGCATTGCGGAGCGGCGGCAGCGGGTCCAGGAACGGCTACGCCTGCAGCAGCAGCGGGCCAGGGCCGCGGGCTCAAGTGCTGCAACAGCAAGTGAGCAGGCGCCGCCTTCCACCAAGGGCAGGCAGCAGGCGCTGCAGAGCACAGAGGCGGTGTGCCAGGCGCTGGAGGAGTCGCAGGCGGCGGCACGGTCGGTGATGCTGGCAGCCGAGCAGCGTACTGAGCGGCATTCCGAGGCGTGCGACACCGAAGAGGCAGCGCTGCGCGAGCAGGTGGCACAGGAGGCAGAGGGAAGCCGTGGGGAGAACCGTGCCATAGACCTGGAGTGGGAGCAGCTGCAGGCACGTTGCTGGGGCTGCCGCCTCGCAGCAAGCTGGTTTTGCAGAAGATGGCTGCCTAGGATGCCAAGTTCCAGAACCACTTGCATTACCACAAGCCTCCCTTACTGACGCATGCCCGCTGGCCAATGCAGGGCATCTCACAGCCGCAGGAGCTGCACGCGGCAATGCAGGCCGTGGCGGCCCACTGCCAGCGGGTCCTGGAGTCCAAGGATGCAGCTCTGGAAAGCATTCGTGCAGTGCTGCGCATGCGGGATGAGCAGTATGTCAGACTGCTGCAGGTGCATAGCGAGGAGACTGATGCGCTCCTTGCTGCTCTGCATCAGCAGTATGAGCGGCTCAAAGGGGTGCAAGAGCGGGAGCTGGAGGCGGTGGAGGCCGTCTACCTGCAGGTGTGCGGGTGGTGACAGGAGTAACTGAGCGTTCATGATGCAGAGAGCGGGTGGCCAGGAAATGCACCCAACAGAGCGACAAATTTTCCTTGTGCCTTCAACCATCCCATCAATTATCCCTATATGGCCTATGGCGTGCTCTCCTGCCTGCCCTTGTGCAGGAGCGCAGCGAGCTACTGGCGGCGCAAAAGGGCGAGCTGGAGGTGCTGCTGGCGCGGCGCAGCGTGGTGGAGCAGGAGTTCATGGAGCAGTACCTGGCGGCATGCGAGCAGTACGAGGAGGAGCTGGAGCGGCTGCGTGTGGATGGGGCAGTGGAACATGGAACCCTCAAGCGCAGGCCAGTGACCTGTCCCCTGGCGGTGCCTGCCTTCGTCCACTTTCTTGAGTCTGGCCAAAGAGGTGGTTGGGCTTGGCGGCATCAATAGTCCATTACCTTTTCTTGCTGCTCCATGCCTGATGTGGTGCAGGCTGGAGGCTGATGTGGCCTCCCTGGAGCTGCACCTGGACGGCATCCGCGCTGCACATGCGCTAAACGCCGACAAGCTGGACTACAACTACAGAGTGCTGGGTGCGCGGGAGGGCATTTACTTGTTGGTAAATCAATGATATCCTTCAACACATGCCATGCATTCTCTGGTCAGTGCATGCTGCCTTTCTCACCCCGCATGATATGCACGTGGCCCACACAACGCCCCAACGCCACTCCCTGCCGGTGAGCAGTGGAGCGCGAGCGGGAGTCCAAGGATGCGCTGCTGCAGCAGAAGCGCCGCATCACACGGCAATGGGCGGCACTTAACCGTCTGCGCAAGCGGTACGCTGCATTGGATGCACGCTGCGCGGCCGACAATGCACGGCTGGGCGATGAGTACACGCATGTGGCGCGCGCCTTCAACCACCTGCAATCCAAGTTCCGCCGTTTCAAGGCCGCTGACCTGGCACGGTTTGAGCAGGTGGGTTGGAAAAGGAGGGGCAATGTTGAGGGCAGCACAGCTCTGTGCAAATTGCGGTTGCCGTGTCACAAATGGAATGTGCTGTGCATAGGCAGATAGCTCTTTCTGCATGTGTGCCTGCACTGCCACCGCAGATCCGCTCCATGAAGGAGGAGGAGCTATCTGAGCTGACGGAGCAGCTGATGGAGGCAGAGCACCTGATTGGTACCTACGTGGTGAGCCTGCCGCAACAGAGGAACACCGCTGGAACCAGTGCAAGGACAGGAGATGGCAGCCACGTGGGGGAGGACAGTGGCCGTGTTTTGGAACTCGAGCTCGTGGGTACTGCGGTGGCTGTGCACCTCCAGGACGGAACCGCTGCGGCTGCTGCCTCCGGGCAGGGCGAGCACCTTGCAGAAGCGGCTATGCTTGCTGACTCTACCCCCAGGGGTCAGCAGATTTCGGCCTACTACCCTGGCAGCCCAGCGGCAGCCTCAATCATCATCAGCAGGGGCGGGGCAGACGAGCTGCCCGCGCCTTGCAGCGCTGGCACAGAGGTGCAGCTGGATGCGACGTCGGCAGCTGAGCTGAGGGCCTCGGCAGACAGTGGCGCACTTAGCCTGCTGCTCGCAGAGTCATCTACTGGAAAGCAGCTGCAGAGCCAGAAGCTGAGCTCTTTACTAGCACAGGTGTCAGCGGCAGCCCTGGATGGGCTGCTGACTGCCGGCGCCGTGGCCCGCAGCTTGGGCCTGCAGCACCAGAACACAGTGGCCGCCCTGGAGTCGATGTTTGCTGGTGGTGGCTCCACAGCTCCTCCTCCAGCTTTGCTGACGGAGAGGACCCAGTTTGAGGGACCACCAGCAGATTGCAGAGCCGCAGCGCCGGCGGCGGTCCACGCATTCAGTGTTGAGCAGGTGGAGGAGGGCATGGAGCGCCTGATGCAGCTGCTATTCAGCGGCCGTGCCAGGAGTGCTGGCGCAGCACGGCGTCTGGAGCAGCTGCAGGCAAGCGTGCCCATTGGCAATTCGGCTCCACCCCAGGCGACTGCGGTGCCGCCGACCAGCAAGCAGTACTGGCAGGCACGGGCTGATGCCAACCTGCCACCGGCAGTGGTCCAATCCTGGGGGCTACTTGAGCAGCAGGCCAGTGCCCAGTTTGCTACGCTTCAGGGCAGGACCGCCAATGCTGATGAGGTGGGTGGGGTGAAGCTGCGGTCAGCAGCCGTGGGCCCCCAGAGGGGCGCAGGCGGTGGTTGAGAGACGGATGGCCATGCCCATGCCGCAGGTGCTTGCGCTGAGGCACGAGAACGACAAGCTGAGGGAGGCCCTGGCCAGCGTGCTGAACAGCACGGTGAACAGAGAGCTGCAGCTCCCACCAAACCTGCTGCTTCGGTGAGGGCGCGGCGACAGGCGGCGGCAGTCGGCGCATGCAGCGCGCGGTACATGTCTGGCGCCGTCCGCTTGCCAAGGCTTTGTCATTACATTGTCGGCCGACCCTGCCTGCCTGCGGGTGTCTGTAAAACTCGAGAGAGAGAATACGTGCGTCCAGAACTCTCCCCACGACTTTTAGCGCAGCAGCAGCACACCACATGAACGCGGGACCGGGAGGATTCAGTGAGCTGGGCTGCGGGTTGTGGTGTGGCTCCCCTGCGATCCTGTCAGCGCGGTGGTTGCCTGCAAACTCCGAGGGGTCTTTAACGCACGCCTCTGGGCAACAGAGGGGCGCAGGGATCGGAGCCTGCCCCGGGTTGGTGGCAGTGCAGCGGCGGCGGCATGGCGGTCGCCGGCTGTTCCAGGCCCCAGCCACTCGTGTCCCCACCTCGCTCCTGCTGCAGGGGGTGCGCCCATCACCAAGGGCTTGCTGCTGGGCACCCTTAGCACCAGCGTGATCATGCAGGCCACCAAGGCAGCGCGACGGCGCCCGCCGCTTTTTGTCAGCCTGTTCACCCACGCCTTTGCCTTCCGCAACCCCGGCGAGCTGCTGTTTGGCGCCTCCCTGCTCTACTTCTACCGCTTGTTTGAGCGCCAGTGGGGATCCGCCAAGTACGGCAGCTTCGTGGTGGCCACCTGCGGCGTGGCATATGCGCTGGAGGCGGTGGCAGGGGCTGCGCTGAGCTGGCGTGCCGCCTCGGGGCCCTTCCCGCTCATCTTTGCCAACCTCCTCGCCAACTTTGTGCTGCTGGTGCCGCCAATGCACCAGTTCACCGTGTTTGAACTGAAAATGACGGACAAGGTGCGGCAGCGTGGGGAGACCCTGTTGAACCCTGCCATGGCCTGCCCACGTCGCACAGCCATCTGCAGCGGCAACCACGCCTCATTGTTGCCTTCCCTCCCCTCCCCTGTCTGTCGGCCCCCCCCCGCAGGCCTTCATCTACCTGGCCTCCATCCAGCTGCTGCTGAGCGCGGGCCCCACCTCGGTGGTGGCGGGTGGCTGCGGCCTGGTGGCAGGCCTGCTGTACCGCCTCAACTTCCTGGGCCTGCAGCGCCTGCGCCTGTCTGCCACCGTGCTGGACCTCTTCACATCCACCATTGGTCGCGTGCTGATGGGGCCGGGCCAGCCGCAGCAGGTGTTTGTGACGCCCACTGCAGCGCACCTGGCGGCGCAACAGCAGCAGGCGGTTGGTGGCGCAATGGGTGGCGGCTTCCAACAGTTTGGCGGGCGGCAGGCGCAGATGACGCAGCGTGGTGGCGGTGCGGCGGCGGCTGCAGCACGCGCTGTGGAGCCCTCCCCCGAAGCATTGCAACAGCTTGTCGCCATGGGATTCGACGAGGGGTCGGCGGCGCAGGCCCTGCGGCAGACTGGCAACAATGTGGAGGCGGCGGTGCAGTACTTGCTGTAAGGCGCAAGACGGTGTACACGCTGGCATCATGGTTTGCAAGATGTGCAGGAGGAACGGGTGCTGTTTCTGCTCTCTCAATTGCAGGCCTGCTAGGGTCATGGTTGAATAGTCCTGTTGGGATTCTTTCCTCATGATTGATGTGCCCTTCACATCCATTGCATCACACACATATGCCATGTTATGCAATGTGAATCGCTCGCAGTTCTGGCATTAATCTCTCGTCACTTTCCTCTCTCAATCAGTGTGACTATCAGGTCACAGTATATTGGGTGTCGGCACATCATCCTGGTATGCGCTGCTCCCGCTGCATGATGGCCGAGTAGTGTTGAAACTTCATCAAGATCACCGTCTTGGGCCGTGCCTGGTCCTTCACAGGCACATAGTGTGCCGTCACTCTGCAAGCCAATCATGCGAGCGCCAAATGCTGCTCTCAGGCAAAAGGGGAGCAACGACTGCAGAGCCCAAAGATACGCGCATCCGATGCCCCTGCCTGCAACGCACCTGGCGGGGAAGCCAGCACCCTCCAGCACGCCGCGGACGACGCCCGCCACAAAGGCTGCCGGGTTGAAGTGGCCCATCTCCCGTGGCACGCTCACATACTTGGTTACAAACAGGTCGCTGTCGCTGATCATGTATTCGTCCTCGGCTGTGTTGCTCTGCTCCAGGTCGCGTGCCTGCCGCCCAAACAGGTACTTCCACAGTGTGCTGCAGCAAACGGGGGCGGCGATCAGGCTGGCGTGGGTGCGCGTGGCCGACCGCTTCGCAGGTGCCCAAACACATCCTCAGCGTGCCACAGCCCACCTGTGCACAAACTTGAGCATGTCGAGCAGTCGTGTCTCGCGGCGCTGCGCGCGTTCACGGTAGCACAGCACCTCCAGCAGGCGCAGTCCCACGCCGTACCCTACCTCATCCAGCCTGCAGGGAGGGTGGGTAGGTAGGCGGGATGTGCTGGCGACGCGCAGCAAGCAACACAAACAGCAAATTCAGCCGTGCCCAGTGTCGCTCACTTGCGCTCCAGCTCGCCAATGTTGGACACGCGGCTCTGACAGTACTGTACCACTTCCCCAAACAGGTAGGAGAAACTGCTGAGGGCGACCTGCGAGGCAGGTGGAGGGAAGGAGCGCGAGGCTGGGTTGGAGCAGTCGCCGGCGGGGAGCATGGCCTGCTTGATTGGAGAGTCCCAGAGCTGCACACCTCTTGCTTGCCCTGCCGACTAAAGGGCTTGTCTACAATCCCGACAGAGCCCCGACTCTGAAACATGGCTGGTCACGACCGAGGCTCGGCGCCGGCAAAGGGCGGGCGGACCGGCCGGCGGGCGGCACAGGCTGGGAGGCGGCAGAGCGGAGGACCGGCAAGCCGATGCCCGCTCGATTTTGTTTGCGCTGGCGAGCTCTGCACACGCTGGGCAGCGCCTCCACCGGCAGGATCGTGGGGTCCGCAGGGGTAGTTGTTGCAGAATGGGGCTGCTCAGTGAAAGGAGATCCACGTGCTTGCTGGAATGCCCTTCTGCTGATCAAAGCAACCCAAGGAATTCCCTTTTGCTGAGCAAGCTTGTGGGCCCACATGCGCCTGCACGTAGCCCCGTTTGTAAATCAAATTGCTTCAGCCTCCAACTCCCCATCCGTTGACCATCCTGATTGCAGGCCGGCAGCCAGCGTGCAGCCAGCCGGCTGCCTCAGCCTCTGCCCATCGCCCTCCCCCTCCGCTGCTCACGCCTCCCCGCTTCCCCGGGCAGCCAGCACCACGCGGCGATGGAGCTGCTGCAGCATTTGGGCTTGGAAAGGCGGCCCGAGTGGCTGCCAGAGCAGGTGGTGCTGCTGGGTGTGCCTCTGCTGCTGGCGTCAGTCATGGTGGCTGCGGCTCGCCTGACGGCAGCCATCATCAAGGGCGCAGCCCGCTGGCTGCGGGTGGCATGGGGCTGCCGCGGCGTGCCTGCGGCGCCCGGCGGCGGCCTGCTGGGGCTTGGTCACACGCTGCAGTTGGCCTTGGCGCCGTGCCCTTGGGAGAAGATGCTGGAGTGGGCGCGTGCCTCGGGCACCCTCACCCGCTTCAACATCCTGCAGCGCACCGGCCTGATTGTGAACGACCCCGAGGGCGCCAAGCGCGTCTTCCAGGTGCGTTGCAGCTGTGGTGGCGGCAGACCAGCTGCGCCCACAAACCAGCTGTGGCCACAGAGACCAAAGCTGCGCGCACAGCCAACAGGCGCCGCCGGTCGCGCCCTCCATGGGGTATTGTGGCGGCGGGCCCCCATGTCGCGCCAGCCCGCCCCGCCGCCGCCCGCCGCCCCACCGCTCGGCCAGCCGCAGTCCCTACTGGACCCCCGCCGCCCGCCCGCTGTGGCCGAGCGGCCGCAGCACCAGCAGCCCTGCCTCGTGGCTGGTGCTGGAGGCCGGCGCCCCGTGAATTCGCCCTCGCCGCATCGTGCCCCTGCTTGCGCAGACGCGGCAGCGGCTGTATGAGAAGGACCTGGACTTTTCTTACAAGCCCTTCCTCTCGATTCTTGGCACCGGCCTGGTGACCGCCGACGGGCCGCACTGGCAGAAGCAGCGGCTGCTGATGGCACCCGCACTGCGCATCGACATGCTGGACGCCATCATCCCCATCACCAAGAACGCCGTGGACAGGCTGTGCAAGAACCTGGAGAGCTTCCGTGGCACGGGCACGCCCGGTACGCAGACAGCTGATGGGCAGCAGAGAGGAGGTGTCGCAATGTTGGGGTGGCCAGCCGGAGCAAAGGTTTTGCAGTCGGAGCCCCGTCTCAAGGGGAGATTGGGCACCACGCCATGGCATTGGGCGCCTCGTCTCCCAGCGCAGCCGTTGATGTGCAGCAACCTGCCGCTGGCACCAGATGGCGGCCATCAGCTTTTCACGTCGCTGCTGCCACGCCCATGCTGACCGCCTGCAGTGAACATGGAGGAGGAGTTCCGGCTGCTGACGCTGCAGATCATCGGTGAGGCCATCCTGAGCCTGCCGCCCGATGAGTGCGACCGCGTCTTCCCCCAGCTCTACCTGCCTGTCATGGAGGAGAGCAACCGTCGCGTGCTGGAGCCCTGGCGGCAGCTCTACCCCCTCACCGCTTACCAGTACAATCAGCGCGTCAGCCAGCTCAACAAATACATTATCAGCATCATCCGGGCGCGGCGCGCGGCGCACGCCGCCAACAGCGGCAAGCCCCCCGCCAAGCCAGACATCCTGGACCGCGTGCTGGCGGCAGCAGAGGTGTGCATCCACCGGCCACGTGCCCTTGGTTGTACTGGGATTGATGGTGGGGTGGGGTGGGGAGGTGGGGTGCTACTGGGCAGCTTGCACCAGGCTAGTTGCGCTGGCTGCCGTATGCCAGACAGCACGTTGGTTCCGCCCCTGTTGCAACCATGACGTTGCAGCAAAGCTTTGCTGCAGGAGAGCGGCGAAAAGTGGACGGCAGCGAGCGAGGTGCAGCTATGCTATGAAATCAAGACCTTCCTACTAGCAGGCCATGAGACCAGCGCTGCCATGCTCTGCTGGACCATGTATGAGCTGAGTCAGAGCAAGGAGGCACTAGAGAAGGTGTGTGTGGGGGTGGGGGGCACGGGAGTGCTGCGTCAGGAGCAGCATCTCGTAGAAAGCGCTGCGTAGAGTTGGGTGCTCGTCGCGAGGTCATGTTGGGAGCGGCACCTGCACAGCCGGTTCATGGGTCCTCGCTGACGTGTGCCCCCTGTGCTCCGGCCACCTGCCATGCCCTGCAGGTCCGTGCTGAGGCAGCAGGCGTGTTTGGCGGCAAGCGGAAAAGCATGCCTTCGCGCGAGGAGGTGGATGGCATGGAGTACACGCTGGCCACACTCAAGGAGAGCCTGCGCAAGTACAGCGTGGTGCCGGTGGTCACCCGCAACCTGGTACAGGTGCGTTCAGCGGGGCGTCATGTGGTGCTTATCTTTTGGGTGGGGTCCGGCATAAGCTGTCCCTCGTTGCCTGCCGGCCGGCTCACCTGCCCCTAAATGGCTCTGGTTCCAGCTCAACTCACTCACGCTACCTGCTGCACCTTTGCTGTCTCGCAGGAGGACGAGCTGCTGGGGCACAAGCTGCCGCGCGGCTCGTGGCTGATTGTGCACCTGCAGGGCATCCACCACCAGTACAACGACCCGCTGGCCTGGCGCCCCGAGCGCTACATGCCCGGTGGCGAGTACGACCAGTTTGACGAATCCATCCGCCCATACATGGTGCGCCTGGCTGTGCTTCTTGGCTGGTTGGTTGCCAGCACTTGGGTCGGAGGGGCCTGCTGTTCCTGATTGTGTCAGAACCCGCCTGCCCGACGTGCCCTGCTGCCCGCCTGCAGTTTCTGCCCTTCATCCAGGGTCCCCGTAACTGCCTGGGCCAGTACTTTGCGCTGCTGGAGAACCGCGTGCTGCTGTCAGTGCTCAACCAGGTGCAAGGGAGCGCCGTGTTGCTGAGTCGGTGGCGCATCAAGCATGCAGCCTGTATTTTGTGCCAATTTTGTGGCGCTCCACTCTGCGCGGTTTTGCCTGCTGAGTAGCCTTCTCTGCCTGCCTCCCCCGTGCATGTGCTCCACTATGCCGCTTGCAGCAATTCACTTTTACTCCCGTGAACCCCAAGGAGAGCGGTGTGACGCACCCCAAGGTCATCCCCGTGGCACCGCTGCACGGCATGAAAATGTACGTGTCGTGAGCCAGCCGGCAGGTCGCCATGCCCAGGGAGGCCCTGCGAGTCGCATCCCATGCCACCTTGTCACCTTTTCACCTTTTCACCTGTGTGTTCGTCCTTGCTGCCTATTCTGCTGCCTTGTCCCTGCTCGATTAGGCCCTCCTTTTTTCCAGATTGCTTTCTCATACTCGCCCACATCCCAATTGATTCTTGTTCTTTTGAACCCTGCTCGCCACATCTATCGGCGACGTGGGCCATGCTGGCGCCCGCTGGGGCCCTCTGCACACCGCCTACTTTGCTTGTTCTTCTTCCTATCCCCATGCCCAATGGTTCCCACCCTGCAACAACTTGCGGTGTCCATGCTCATCAAGTGGCGAAAGTCCTCGGGGGACATAGGTCTCGAGGATATCCTGGCAGCCTGCAGCCCACCTGAGCTGGCCGACATCGAGGATGGGACGCGGCGGGGCTCTGGCCGCATGCTGCGCCTTGGCCTTGGCCTCTCTGTACGAGTGCCGGCAAGGCGGAGCTGGAGGGGAAGAGGGCGGAGAGCGTCAAGAGGCTGCATGCGCCGAGGCAGCAGGAGGAGGCAGAGCGGAAGGCGCTGCACACGCTGGTGGTGGACCCGCTGCCCCCTCCACAACCGACGACAGCAGCGGGGTGCTCCCCCGCTGCCTGGCCGGCACAGCCAGTACGTCAAGGCGGAATGGTCAGCCAGGGACTGGCTCCTCAAGAAGCTTTGTCTCGGCGACGGCAGCAGCAGGCAGCAGCCACTCGTGTGATCATCCGGCCGGTGGCAGCTGTGCCTGTGGCTGCATGCACAGGCAGCAGCAGGGGTAGCGGCGGCCTGCCTCTGGACCTGTCGCCAGCTGGATCGCTGCTGCAGTCACCCACGGCGTTGGCCGCCCTTGCAAGCTCAGCCGCACGCAGCCCGAGCATTTCAGACCAGCAGCAGCATTTACCCATCGAGGCTGGCCTGGTGTTTCAACCCGAACTGCCGTCAGCAGCAAGGCTTTGCTGCCGCTACTGGCCAAGCAGGCATCAGTTGCGGCAGTGTCCAGCGAGCTGCCCACCGCCCTCGCGACCTGGACAAGCTCTTCATCAAGCCATTGACTCTAGCCAAATGCACATTGCAGCAGGCACGCAATCAGCAGCCACCACCGCTGCCCAACTTGGCGCTTGCGGAGCGGCAGCAGCAACATCTGAAGCCGGCGGCACGGGCGGGCTCGCCCCACTGGAAGCAGCTTCACCCGCCACCACAGTCCCGGTCAGCCCCTCGCTGTCAGGCATTGGAGGAGGTGGACATCTTCAATGAAATTGATGGATGGCCAGCGCACCGGCTGCTGCCAAGCCAAGGACGCAGCGAGAGCAGAAACAGGCGGTGGAAGCAGGCGCTGAGTGGCAGCGGTGGCAGAAGCAAAAGCGGCATGCGGGAGCGGATACGAGCAGCACCACCACCTGGGTGCTTGATGTACCCTACGTGTTACACACAGCAATGAGTGTTGCCGATAGAAATCATCGTCTGCCCCATGTAGCGGCCGTCCTCTCAACCTGCTGGGCTGCCGCTCACCAGCCTACTCGTCGCTGCTCTTTGAGCAGTAGCAGAGGCCCCCTGGTTAGCCGCCACCGCAGTGTGGACTCGTCGCCTGTCGAGGCTCGGTAGCTGGCATTCCTGTCCAGCCCGGCGAGCATGGTGTCCTCTGCCCCTCGCTGCCTCCCAACGCGCGTGCCGCCCTGCCGCTCGAGGCGGCAGCTGCGGCGCTCGGTATGTCTGTCGGCGACCAGATGTGTAAGGTAGGCCAACCCCTCTGCCCCAATCGGGTGGCTTCGAGAAGGGCAACGGCACCCACTGTTTTTTCAAAGCGCCCATACGGCAGACAGGAGCCGGGCAGCGGGCGATTTGGGGGCGTCGCACGTGCAGGAATCGATGCTGCCGCGCGCGCGAGGTACGGTGCCCGGGGGCTGTACCGCCCCCGGCGTACTGCCACACACGCTCTGCAACGCTGTAAACCATATGACGAGGCACAAGCCTGCTGACCCTAATCGTGACCAGCTCGCTGGCGGGAGCAACTTGTTGGCCTGCAGTCTTGGACGGGCCAGTCACTGAGAGAGGCAGCTGGGCAGCTCTCCCCCGCAGCACCCCTGCGTTCACCCGTCTCTGGTGAGGCTGGAGCAGCAGACCCGCACTGGAACGACAGCGGTGGGTCGGCCTTCCCGCGTGACCTTGTGTCCTCGACCCCTGGTGTGCTGGCTGCAGTGCACCCGCTGCCACTAACACCAGCGTATCGAGTGAAGCAGGTGGGGAGGCCGAGCAGATACAGATGGAGCAGGGAGTTGACAGGATTGCAGCAGCCGCGGCGGGCGCCGCGGCGGACGCGGCGGCAGACGACACGGCGGCTACGCAGAAGTCGAAAAAGCGGCGCAGCGGACCCAAGAGCAAGACGTCGCCCTATGTACGTTCCCTGATCCAGCTGCTGGAGCAGGAGCAACGGGCATGCATGAGGGTGCACCCTACATCCAATCACAGGTCTGCCTGCTCGACTCCATCCGATCACTCTTCTGCCCCATTCAGGTCGGTGTCACGCAGTACAAGCGCACAGGGCACTGGGAGGCCCACGTCTGGTGAGCGGGTCTGCTCCATGCTCCTTATATCCTCCTCCACTTTCTTTCCACTCTGACGCGGCCGCCCCAGCCGCACCTTTGCCGCAACGCAGGATTCAGAATCCGCGGGGCAAGGGCTATCAGCGGCACCTGGGCAGCTATGCAACAGCAGATGTCGCTGCAAGGGTTTACGACCGAGCCGTCCTGAAGCTGCGTGGGAAGGGGGCGGAACTCAATTTCCCCCTTGCAGACTACGAGGCCGACGCCTTCATGCAGGAGCATGTTGGCACGGATCGCATCAAATTCCTGGACCTGCTGCGAGCGCGCTTCTCGTTGCAGGTGGGGGGTCAGCAGCGCCCTCGCCGGGCAGCTGCGCCTGCGACAGCAGATGAGGAAGAGGAGGAGGCACCCGAATCGCCCCGCACACGCACGGTGAGCAGCACTTGTGGCAATGCTGCAGCATGCTGATGAGCATGCCACCGCCCACCTGCATTCAACTGGCAGTTTCTTCCTGCCTGTCTCCTAATCTGACCCCGGGCTCACACCCACTGCCCTGTTTCAGGTGGTGCGGGCACCACGCAGCGTGCAGCGTGTGACGGTGCACGAGCACCCTATCCCAGTGGAGCCGCTGCACGGCAGCCAGCATCGGCGCTCAACGCCGGCGGCGGCAGCTGCCAGCGTGCAACGGGAGCAGGATCGGGACCAGAGTGCAGTGCATGCCTCGCTGCATTCACCAGCTGGGCGAGGCAAGGGCCTTGTGCGGCCCTCGCTGTCACTGGAGGCCTCTGAGGAGCAGCTCCTGATCACCACAGCCCCCATGACCAACTCGCAGATGCAGCTGCTGCTGCCTGGCCCACCGGGCTCTCTGTTGGCGGGCGGCGGTGGTGCCAACAGCGCAGGCATCACCCCCTGCTCCTCCCCGGACCGCGCCCTGTCGGCACTGCCGCAACTCTCCCTGGAGATGCCGCCCCCGCCCAAGCTGCGCCGCACCAGTGCAGACGGCGAGGCTGGTGGCCCTGGCGGAAGCAACGTGCTGGCCTCTGCTGTGCTGCATCCCTCTTTGGCGGGCGGCGGCACCTTCATGTTTGGGGCCGGCTTTGGCGGCGGCTATGGCTATGGTGTGCCCAACCCGCTGCTTCTGCCCGGGCTGGCGCTCCACCAGCAGGTGCAAGCCTCACAGATGGCTGCACAGGCTGCTGCTGTTGGCACCATCCCTGCCACGCCTGCCAACACCAGTGCTGCCGCCCTGCCCGCTCTCTTTGCACCGAGCCCCACCGCCCTTGGCAGCTACAGGCCGCCAGGGCTGCGACTGCCAACCCTCACCGTCGACAACCTACTGCCAGACTGGATGGCCCTGTTGGGCCCCCAGTGAGGCGGGCGTTATTCAGCATGTCCTCCCATGCATTCATTCATTCACATACGTGCAAGACATTACTAGTGCTCTCCTGCGACCGCACCTCGCATACCATCCACTCATCCCTCACCGCCTGCCACACTCAATTTGCTCACCCTCCTCTCCTAGTTGCCAACCTCCCTCGGTCATCTCTTGGTACTCTGGGATTTTTGGACTTCACTCTTAAGCCCGACCACTGCAGTTATGACAGCCTGTCTTTTTAAATGCGAACAGCTGAAGCTGTGCTGGTCAAGATGATGATGAAGGGGCAGCATTACTGCCTCGGACTTCAGGCCGCTGCAATGGTAAAGACACGGGCTGCTGCTGCGATTCTGGACGCTGGCGTTGCCGATGTTGTGTTGCTGCTGCTGCTTGCCGCTGCCCCTGTTGCCGCCGCTCTCGCTGCTGCTCGGGCTGCTCCACATGCTGGGGTCCATGGACCTTGGCGGTGCCTGCAGCGGACAAACCATGCATGGCATGACGGGCATTGCATGACGGTCCCTGGCAGCTGGCCACTCCCAACAGCTTGGAGCCGCACCTGCATGTTGCGGGCGCCAGGGCTTCACGAGGACTGCCGCGCCAGGGTCGCTGAAGAACGACTCCAGGATGACTGCCGCCGCCACGCTGTCCATGCGCTGCACCCAGGTGGATGGCAAGATGTGCAGGCCTCAGAAGCAATGCGGCAAAACAGGTGGCACAACCGGGCTGGCAGACTGCGGGTGGTGGATGGCCAGCACAACAGGCGGAACCCTTTGCACCTTGCTCAACGTGGACCGCCTGCTGCCGCTGGATGCCAGCAACCTGCGCGCCGCCAGCGTGCTGCCCCGCTCGTCAGCCAGGAACACGGGGATGGCGTGTGGCGCTGCTACCGCAGCCATGTTGTCGGCGAAGTTGCGGCAGCGCCTACCCTGCTGCGAGTCGGTCGATCGGCGGCGCAGGGAACCCGCCAGCGTGACGGGCAGACCCAGGACGATCGCATCGCAGGCCTCGCGCTGAGCCACTGCCAGCACCGCGGCAGCCAGCTGCAGCTGCTCGTGCGCCAGTGGGCCTGGCAGGCCCTCGAGCGGCCGTGGCGCGAGGCCCAGGGTGCTCACCGCCAGGCCGACCACGCGGCGGCCGTAGTCCAGGCCCAGGGCGCGTCGGACCTGGTGTGCCGGTCTGCTGCCAGTGGGGTTGGGGGCTGGATTATCGTTGCGGCCCTCTTCTTCCCGCTCCTGCTGCGGCAACGAGCGCGCAATGCCGCGCCAGCCGTGAAGGCTGTCTACAGGCGGGTGCCTGGACACTGTATAGCTACGCAAACATCGGCTGAAGAGGCTGCGGCAGGGGGCCACAGGCAGACAACCCAGACCAAGGCAGCCGACGTCCATCTTGAAGATAGTAACTAGCAACGAGCTTGTAAATGGATAACGTGAACGGGTACAATATTACATGCATGATCATGCATGAAAAACGCGCTATGAGTGGCACAGCGCGCCGGTGTTGCGCAGCGGCAGAGCGTGGTGTGGCGGCGTGACATCTGCCCACCAGAGTGAATGCCAAAATGTGTTATGCTGTGCATACTGATGATCAAGCAAATTTTAGCTAGAAAAATGTACTCATGCGTGGGCGAGTGCTTGCCAAGTACTCCATGCCTGCGTTGGCTACCGGCTCATGTGTCCTACGCTGCTCTCAAAATAAGATTGTCTGCATACAGCAAGTGCAGGCGGGCAAAGCTGTGCATACACCAGAGAGCCGGCGCAACAGCACAGTCGGCAAACGGAAGCCCCCAGCCGGCCTGCTCTCTGCTCACCCAGACACCTCAACTTGCTTGTCAGCGCGCCACTGCAGTTGTTGCTCCTGCACATGTCACACCACAAACAGCTGACACATGTGCTGCGGCAGCAGGTGCAGTAAGCGCCCAGACAGCATGGCAGGCTATGCCTTGAAGGACAGGTAGCGTTGCGAGGTGCGATGCACATTGTTAAAGTAAGCTTTTGATATGTATCTGCGAAGCAGACGAGGTGGAGCGGCACATGGACTGTGTGATACACATGGATCTGCAGTTGGTGCACTGGCTGCCTGTCAGGTTACACTGGCGGGTTAGTGTTGAAGCGCACCGCTCAAACACCATGACCTTGCAGGGATCTGTGTCTGCAATCATGACCTCATAGCCCAGTGTCCCCTCTTCGTTGAGTTTTACCCACTCTGCCAGCGGCTGCCAAGCCTCTTCAATGAACTGGACATGGGCCAAGCAGTGGCCGGGGGGTGGGTGCGCCACGGTGCCGAGTACATGCGCGGCGGTAAGCCAACATGCCTGTGCACAACAGATGCATAGCAGTGACATACCTCATCCCTGTGCTCGGTGGTTTGGAATTTGAGGTACACGCACAGCACAAAAACCTGCAGAGGGGCACGGCAGTGGCGGCTGGTGCTATCGCCGACACCTTGCCCACCCGCCTGCCCGCCAACACCGGCTTGTGGAACATGGCGGACAGCGGTGCGTCAAGGGGTTAATAGTGATTTGATCAGGGGCAACGCTGCAGGGAGGCCCGGCTCAGGCTGTGGGCAGGAGGGCTCTTTGATCTCTTTGAGCGTGCAGTGAGGACACACCTTGTTTTCGTCGGCTGCCATCACGTGCACAGCAGGAGCGATGATGTGTGACCATCTATAGGTCATTGTTCATGGATCACCGGGTGATCATCACCCGGTTTTCGCGCCAGGCTGGCACTTCCCTGCCTATATAGAGCTCTACGTCTCATCTCTGTCCGTGTTTGAATACTGATATGCTCTACGATCCATTGGCAACCACAAGGCGGCCCACGGCACCAGCACGCCCCCGTGGGGCGATCATCTGGCTGGGCTCAGCTTTTGACCAGCTCCAATGCAGGATGTTGTGGTCGTGGATCTTGGAGGCGGCAGCGTGAAGCTGGGCAGCGCGCGGCAGCCCGACAACCCCAAGTGCGCTTTCGCCGCCGCCCCTGCTGGCGCCTTGGAGTGGCGGCTAAGGCTGCCGTCGAGCATTTGCCTCCCTGTGTGGCATTGCCTCCCTCATTTCACTAGTAGCATAAAGCTTTGGTCCATGGCATGCTGCCCGCCGCTCCAGGGTCTTCCCCAACGCCAGCGCCAAGCTCAAGGGCGAGCGTGGAGCATTTGTGGGCGAGGCAATGCTGGACACGAAGGATGTGAGTGCGCTCAGTCTACGCCGCCCTGTGGACCGCGGCTTTGTGGTGGCCTGGGAACTGCAGCGCGACATCCTGGCGCGGTGAGGCAGCTGCGAGTTGCAGTGTGTGGGCGCGGTGAGGCAGCTGCGAGTAGCAGTGTGTGAGTGTGATGGTCTCAGCTTGGCGGGTGGCTGCTGCTGCTGCTGCTGCTGCTGGTGGGCCATGACCCACTGTGCTGCTTGCAATGTTGCTCCACTGCCTTTGAAGGCTTCAGCCGTGCCTCACCCCCCCCCCCTTGCACCCTCTGGTGCCCGCCCACCACCGCAGGGCGGTCAAGAGCCTGCTGGGGTTGGTGCCGCCCTCCGCCTGCGGCCTGGTGCTCAGCGAGCCCTATCTGAACCTGCCGGCGCTGCGGGAGGCGGCAGTGCACATGGCACTGGATGAGCTGGGGTTTGGCTCGGTGTATCTATGCACTCCCGCGGCGCTGAGCCTGCGCTGGCATGCGCAGCGCCTGCCGGGGCTTCCTGCCAACCAGGCGGGGTGCGGGCTGGTGGTGGACGCCGGGTTTAGCTTCACGCATGCGGTGCGTGTGTGCACATGGGGCATGCGGGAGAGAGGAGGGCCAGACATGGGCCTAGCTTGTACAGGCGCACTTTGTGAGACCCTGCCGAGGCCAGCAGTGCTTCACGCGTGCTGCTGGTACCGGCTGCCCGCCGATCGAACGCCCGTGCGTCACCCACCCCAACACCACCCTGCAGGTGCCGCTGTTTGACTGGCGGGTGCTGCCGGGCGCGATTCGGCGCATCGACCTGGGCGGCAAGGCGCTGACCAACTTCATGAAGGAGCTGGTGTCGTACAGGTGGAGCAGCGATGGGCTTACGCTCGCGCTGCCAGCATGTTGGGCTCACTTGCTTGGGCTCACTTGGGCCTTAAAGGGAGGGGAGAGAATTCATTGCACCACCACTGCTACTGCTGCCACCGTGCCTGCTGCACCTGCTTGGCTGCAGGAGCATCAACATGATGGATGAGGGCTACCTGCTGGAGCACATCAAGGACCAGTTGTGCTTTGTCAGCGCCGATGCGGCAGCAGACTTGCGCCTGGCGCGGGGGCGTAACTCGCCCTTCAGGTGAGTGGGAGCAGCAAGCAAACTGGGGTGGGTGGCCGCAGCCCTCGATTATCCATCCACTTGTCCATCGCACCTGGGCTGCAGAAAAGAGTACGTGCTGCCAGACGGGCTGACCGACACGTGGGGGCACGTACGGACCGAGAAGGAGCAGCAGATGCTGGCAGCGGCAGCGGCCGCACAGCGCGCAGGGCAGGGCCCTCCGCCTCCCAAGCAGCCAGTGCTGATGGTGAACAACGAGCGGTTCATGGTGCCAGAGGCGCTGTTCCACCCCTCAGGTGCTTGGTAGGAGGTCGGCCAGTGATACCCTCTGCCCGTTTGCTGCGCGCCCATTGCTCATTGCCTGTGCACTCCCGACTGGTTCCTGGCACGTCTGCTTGTGCCGCTGTGGCTGGTTGGAACGTGTTGTGCCGGTGCACGGAGCCTGCAGACATTGGCATGGAGGAAGCGGGGTTGGCAGAGACGGTAGCTCAGGCGGTGCAGGCGGCCCATCCCCACCTTCATGCGCTGCTCTACTCGAACATATTGCTCACAGGTTGGAAGCATCTGCTGGAGTGGTGGAGCCTGGATGCTGCTATTGGACCCTGCTGCTTCCACGCCACAGCAGCGCACCCGCGTCTAGCTCTTGCTGCTGCCAACCGGCTCCCTGCCTGGCTCTGGGTGCAGGCGGCACGGCGCGGTGCCCCGGCTTCCGGGACCGACTGTATGCGGAGCTGCGGCCGCTGGTGCCTGATGATTACGAGGTGGGTCTGCCTCGTTGGTGGGAACAGGCGGGCTGGCCCTCTGCCTGGCTCGATACGCGTTGCTGCACGTGTGCCACCACCACGTGGGAAAGCGTCAACCTGCCACACCCACACCCATTTCTGCCGCAGCTGGGCATCCACTTGGCGGATGACCCGGCGCTGTGTGCGTGGAAGGGGGCCGCGCTGCTGGCGGCATCCCCGCAGTACATGCAGCTGGCGGTGACGCGACTGGAGTGGAGGCAGCATGGGGCAGCAGCATTTGCAAAGTGGGTTTAGTTGACCTACTGTTGTCTGGGGTTCATTCTCCACCACCACGCAGCTGCGTGACTTGCAATGAGCGCGTAAGAAGGAGCCAGCCGTTGTTTTACAAAGGGATCAGGGAAGGAATAGGAGTTGGCGGGCATTAATGCCGGCAACAAAAGAGGGTGCGCTGGGGGGTGCGGCACCAGAGAACAAAGCCGCAGCAGTGAACCGGAGGGCAGAACAGAGCGGGGGCCACCGGGGTAAAACAGCAGCGGGTGGAGGGACCAGCAGGGGGCACCATGCACAGAGTAGGGGCTGAATAAAATCCCTGAGGGGGAACCCACAAAGAGTGCTGCACCGACTGGAGTGGGCAGCAAGGCCAAGGTGGGGGATGCGGGAGTCGTGGGGTGTCATCCGAGGAGGGGCCCAGGTCGGGTTGGGGTTTTCATCAGCAGGGTGCCAGGGCAGCCTTGTTGGGCAGTTGGCCCGAGTTGCTGGGCATAAGCCCAGCCATCTTGCCGCGGTGGAATGCTGCACGGCCAGCTACTGACATCCCCCAGCACCGGCTCCTGCTGCTCGGCGGACCATGGGTGCAGGAAGCAGTCCCAACCGCTCTGGTGCAGGCTGAGGCCGAGGTGCTGCTGCGCAGCAGAGGGCAGCGGCAGTGGGGGCCGCCTTTTGAAAGGGAGCACCGCCTGCTGTTGCTGCTGCTGCTGCACAGTCTGCTGGAGCGCCTGCAACAGGATTTGCTGCTGCAATGGCAGCCCCGGCGCTGCCACTGCTTGCTCCAGGCCAATGCACCCTACAAATTCGAGTTCGTCGGCAGAGTTGAGGTTGGTGCGTGCCGCAGGCAGGCGGAGGGCCAACTGGCGCTGGAAGCGCGCTGCCCTCAACACGTTAAGCTTGCGTGCCGTGACACTGGTGTTCATGGGGCGCCACACCGCCGCGTCGCTGCAGGGTCGGGGGGGTGGGGCGGGGATCAGGCGGCGAGCAGCGGAGCTGTCGGATGCGGGGGTAGACGCTGCGTGGCAGGACCTCATTGCAAGAGACAGGGTTGGCTGGGACATGAGGGTTGGTAAACGGTCAGTGGCTGGGCAGGGGCTTGCAGCGAGCTCACCCGCAGGCGGCCACGAGCGCCTGCTGTTGGAACTGGTGCGCGATAGCGCGACGCTTGAGGTGAAAGTAAAGAGTGGGTGAGTCGATGGATGCGGGCCACCAGGGCTGGTAGTCCTTCTCGTGAATCTGCAACTTCCGCCTGCGCAAACAGCGAGCGCCACGGGCGGTTGGCGGCGGCGGCCAACATCAGCTGTGTGCCGTTTTTCGTCGAATCTGCTGCCGGGGGGGCTGAACTCGACATGGATGCTCCTGCCGGTGCACCAGGGGCTTTCCCAGCCAAACCGAGCGTCACCAGGAACATCTCTGGTGCGTCATCCTGGGCCGGCACACCGCTGCCCCCACCTTGTGGTGTCGCAGAGCTCATAAGTGAGAGCACACGGAAGGCATTCCAGGCAGTGCAAGCAGCCGGCGCGCTCCATGTCTTGAATTTGTCGAAGTGGACTGCTCAGGTGTGCTTGCAAGTCGCCTGCACCCAAGTGCTCGACGACGAATGTGATTCAGATGAGTGAAAGTGAAGCAAGGCAAGCAAATTGTTAACTTGTTTACGGCAAAGCCATCGATTACGTACGGCAAGACCACCTGGCAGTGGCCACCATGGTGGTGTGTCATCTCTAATCTAATGCCACAGCTCTTTTACACATCCTACTGTTTGCCCCGCGTGGTAGGGCCGCAAGCCTCTCTCGGGGTTCCTCTGGTATGCAGTCAACCAGGGTGGGATCAGCTCCCAGTTATATTCTTGAAGCACTTCCTCACTTGAAGACATCAAATGTAACGCGTGCCTTGTTGTCAAATCACTATCTAATCACAAGGCTCAGGTGGGATCGAAGGCCTGTATGACAGCAAAGTGCATTTCTAAGCTGGCGGGCTGCCCCTGCATGTACGTGCGCGCCTGGCATGCCACCCCAGCCGCATGACACGCTGCCAGCATGCCCTCCTTCTCCTGGCCCAACCACGGGCGCAGCGGGTCGTGCCACTGGCGCGGCGTGCCATGCAGGCGCAGGCGCAGCTGGTGGGCGGGGCAGCGGCGAGCCAACGGAGCGATCACATGCTGGGTGGCAGGGTAAACTGCGCCTTTGGTGTTCGCCCCGGCATCCAGCCAGTGCAGCTCCTGCATCCTGGCCAACACCTCCCACTCCCGTGGCGCCTGCTGCTGCTGCCGCAGCGCATGCCATGAGCAGACCGCGCATGCAGTGCCTGCTGCTTGCTGCCAGGCAGCCAGCTCCTCCACCACCTGCAGGGCGCAGGAACATTGGCAAGGATGGCCAACAGGATCCAAACATAAGCACAGAGACGAGGCCACCCAGCGCTCAACAAACGGTCTCCTCCTGTACTGGAGCAGGCCCACCTGGCGCAGCACCAAGCCTGCCTTGCTGAACCCCACCAACGTGATGCTTGGTGGGAGCTGCCCAGCTGGGGCAGCACTGGCCAGCAAGGTGTGCAGTTGTTGGGCGGCGGGGAAGCTGGCGCCATCGAATCGTGGCGGCACGCCCTGGTGCAACGGCCCGTCTGGCAGAAATGAGTCGAAGCACGCGAAGTCGCCCTCCCAGCGCTCCGGCAACACGCTGCAACCAAAGCGGCAGGCACCAACCACAGCTCAAATGATGGTGGAGCTGCAGCAGGCTGGCGGCAAACTGGCACACACTGCCTTACATATGCACGCGTGCGCCTGGAAACTTGGTGCGCAGCAGCCGTGCCAGTTCTTGGGGGCGCTGGAGGCGTGCCACAAGGCCAGCGCCACTGCATGCCACTCGATCCCCGGTAAAGAAGACCACCGCCTGCATGCCAGGGAGGGGACGAAAGAGCTGGCTCCAGCCTGCCTTGTTTATCAGCTGGAAACTGCGGTGGCCACAAGAAACTGCTGCCCACGGAGAAAGAAGAAGTTACAACTGAACCGTGCCGCATAGCAGCACGGGAGGGGGCAGGCGGGCGGCCGGCGGGCCGCGCCCTGACAAACTCCACACACCGCTGCCATGCTGGGCAGGACCCCTCCCGGTTAGGACCCCTCCATGTAGCCAGGGAAGCGAGAAGGGATAAATGCCACTGTAGCGCTTGGGGAGCTGATGCGCAAATGCCACGCAAGCTTGCCACAAAGAGATAATACCCTCCTAGTCTCCACTTAGAACTGCTGTTGAAAGTCTTTTGAGGGCCGCAACCCGTGTGCTGGCTGGTTGGTTTCTGGCGCTCACCCCAGCGCTCCAGCAGACCTCCGCAGGGCCCCTCTCAGCCCCTCACCGGGAGCTCCCCGAGCTTCCAACCGTGCAGGCGGCGCCATGGTGGCTGCAGCCGCTGGCCCACTGGTGGTGGTGGGCTGCCCCGCAGCGCCCAGCCGCCACATACCTTGGGGCAGCAGCAGCAGCCTCTCGCCCTGGCGCCCCGACAGCGCGAGCCTGCGGTGCCGGCCGCCGGCCGCAAGCCGCCGCACCCTCCTACAGCAGCTGGCAGTGTGCGCCGCCATGCGGCCGTCGCGCCTGGCGGCCGCCACCTTCCAGGCCCCCTCCGTCTCCTTCCTGCCCCCAAGCTCCAGCAGAGCGGCACATTCGGGGGAGGCCCGCATGGCAGCAGCGCCCGTGCAGCACAGCGGCCCGCCCGTCTTTGTGCAGGCCACCGGGCGAATCATCGCAAGTGCGTGCGCCGTGCCCCACTGCTGGCTGCCAAGCTGGGTGCCTGAGTGCGGCCAACTGGCTGTGGATGCGTGCCACAGAATCCTAGCCTGCCTGCCAGCCAGAGGGCCCTGTCAGGGCTTGCTCAATCTGAGATTGTTGCCGCCATGCTGCCCGCCCCATGCAGTCGGCGACATCCATGGCGACCTCCAAAAGGCGCTTTCCTGCCTGGAGATGGCGGGGGTACTGGCTGAGGATGATGGCCACATTAAGTGGGTGGGCGGCGACACAGTGGTGGTGCAGCTGGGCGACGTGCTGGACCGTGGAGACTGCGAGATTGGTGAGCTGCCTTTGCCTGCTGGCTGCCCTGCGCTGGGCTTCAGTATTGCGCACTGCCAGGCATTCTGCAGCTGCTGCCAGTTTGCCGCATGCGCAGTTGGGCGCAGCTGTTGACAGCAGCCAGCAGGTGGGGAGTCCCCGAGTGAAGCCTTCACCTAGCGCGTCTCGGCTTCTGCAGGCTCGGTGCTGCTGCTGCGTGAGCTTGACCGGCAGGCTCGGCAGCAGGGCGGTGCGGTGTACATGCTCAACGGCAACCACGAGAGCCTCAACGTGGCGGGCGACTTCCGGTGAATGCGCTGATGCTGTCGCATGGCAGGGGCCACTGGGCTGGGTGGGCAGCAGCCTGTGCGGTTTGCAGCAACGTTTATCACCAACCATGCCCCGTTTCCGGCTGTGTGCATATGTATCCTGCTGGGCGCCCATAGTGCGGGCCATGACTCCCTGCATCACATCTTCTGTATTCACCCCTCCCTGCGCCCCCTGCTCTCGTGTGCAGCTATGTCACTCCTGGCGCCTTTTTCGAGTCTGCCCGCGCCGCAGGGCTCAGTGAGGCCGACATTGCGGCAGGGGACCAGCGGCGCATCCTGCAGGCACGCTGGTACCTGTACCAGCCGGGTGGCGCCATGGCGCGGGAGCTGGCCAAGAATGCCACCGTGCTGGTGGTGAATGATGTGGTGTTTGCGCACGGCGGCCTGCTGCCACACCACCTGAAGTACGGCCTGCAGCGGATAAACGATGAAGTGGCAGAGTGGATGAATGGCGCCATGCGCCCCGACGGCTCCCAGGCCTCCCCCCCCTTCCCCGCCATGGGCGACTCTAGCTCGGTGCAGTGGAACCGCACCTTCGGCAAGGAACGCGTCAGCGACTGTGAGTGGGCTGCAGCAGGCGCAGCCAGCAGAAAGGGGAAGGGGTGTGGAGTGGTTGGGCGCAAATAATGTGGCCAGGCAGCATCTTGTATTGGGGTCTTTTTCCTGCAGCCATGCAGCACGCCACTTTCTACAGCCACAAGGGATTGTCTGGCTGGCTGGATTCAGATTTTCTGTTCTTGTTGAACGCTCATGCCTTCTCTCGCTGGGCCCCTGCCTGCAGATGAGCGCATGCACATGAACTTTCAGCTGCGCGCGACGCTGGAGTCGCTGAATGCGCGGGCCATGGTGGTCGGACATACGCCGCAAATGTCGGGAGTCAACTGCGAGTGTGATGGCCGTGTGTGGCGCGTGGATGCGGGCATGTCCAGCGGCGTGCTGGATGCTGCACCGCAGGTGCGCTGTGGCTCCTTGGCTGCACTTGGGGTGATGATACCCTGTTGTGATCGGCGTTGTGGCGTCGCTGACGGGCTGCCTGCCCATATGGTACTGCGCAGGTGCTAGAGTTCACCCGTAATGAGGAGGGGCAGCTGGTAGCACGTATGCTGCGGCAGGCGATGCATGGTGTGGACGTGGTGACGCGGGTGTACGCAGACCCTGCTTCTGCTGCCGCACCTGCACCGGAACGGCCGTCCTCGCCCTCCCCCATGGACACAGGTGCCCGCAGCTACGCCTGATTGACCCTTAGCATGCCCAAGCCACCAACCTCGGCGCTTACTACAGCAGTGGGTAGCCAGTTGCTGTTGCTAGCTGGCAGATGGACGAAGACGACAATCCAATGAATGCCTGCGCCTCAATTCAGCACTGGAGAGAGCCACGTGCCCTCGCACACCCCAGCAGTTGCCTTGCTCCAGCATGCACCTTCCCCTGACACGCATGCACCCTAAACTGTTTTCCCCTTCTGTGGCCTCGGTGCTGCGTGCTGTTGGTTCTGAGGTTCTGAACAACGGAGGGTTGCTCACTTTTCCCTGCTTCTTCGTCTCCTTCCCCTCAATCAAGCAATTTCGCCCGTGCTCTCAATTTTATCTGCCGCGTTCTTGTTTGATTCTGCACTTTGCCCCTCCTCAGCTCTTTCCCATAAGTGTAACTGTACCACCAGTTCATTCACTCCTCGTGTAAGTGTATGGCCGTAGCCAGGGATGTAGGGGCCCAGCATCCATCAAGCGGCTGTGACTGCTTGCCAAACCTGGATGGACACCCTGATTTGCTTGATCGGTGCTTACAGCAGCAAAAGCGCCAGCCCTGACGAAGTGCGGGATGTATGCAGAGCACAGTGTTGGCTGGACAGGACAGCGTTCATTGGCTTGTGCGGCAGGGAGAGTATAGAAACCAGGAATTTTGGGGGGTACTTCTTTCCAAAACGGGGCCCCTAAAAGAGGCCTGATGGTGCGCAAGGCGCCCCTGAAAATAGGTGGCGCGGCGGCGGACAGCTCATTCCTTGTGCCTTGTTAATGCTGGTCGGAAGGGAAAGAAAAACTGGGGGGGGGGGGGGGGGAGGGGGCGCGGAGGACGGGTCATGAGAAAGGATGGCGGGATGGGGTGGAGAATTGGTGTTGGGAAATGAAAGGGGCTGAAAAGGGTGTCAAGGCCTGGAAAAGCAGGTTTGGACTTGAACGACACACACGACACCACACACACAGGATGCGCTCACTCGAAACTCGTATGCGCTCTGGCATTGTGCAAGGGAATTTGTCAAGGGTGCGATGTGCAGAGGAAAAAACCGCAAGGGTGAGGTGGAATAAACGGGTGGTGTGGCCTGCTTGCCAGCCTCACGGCTGGCGCTGGCGAACACGCACTCACCCAGCCCAGGTGTTATTGCGGCGGTGAGGCAGGGCGGCGGCGGCCGCCCGGATGCCTTCGAGGATGGCCTTGCCACGAGGCTGCACAGCGCCGCCGCGAGGGGGGATTGAAACAACCATGATGGGCGCTGCTTGCGCCTTTCGTGCGGGGGCAGGCGCTTGCGCTGGCACGGGCGGCGGGTCCTGCTCGGCCTCATCATTCCAGTCATCCAAATGCACAGAGTGCTCAGAAGAGCTGGTGGAGGCGGGCCCGTCCAGCGCCTCCCACCCGTCGTCCTCTTCCACAGATCCTGAAGCGTGCTCCACGCCCTCGGCGATGGGCGAGGGGTTGATCTGCTGCTGCACCACGCCCAGCATCATCAGGCGCTGTGCGACGGTGCTGGGGCCTGTCAGGCGCTTGGTGCCACCGCCAGGTATGCCGCCCAGCGGCAGGCCCGTGGGCTGCAGTCCTGCGCCGTTGTTGAGCGCGGCAGTGAGGTCCACCTCCTCGCTGCGCCGCGGCAGCCACTTGGACAGCATGGCGGCGTGCTGGCGCCAAGGCGGCAGCGGAGTGCCCGTCTCCTGGAAGGCATGCGCCATTTCGGAGCACAAAATCTCAACCACCTGCAGGCACGGAGCGGGAGCAGCCAGCAGGCCTTTGGGGGAAGGCAGCCAGCGAGGATGCGAGGATGTACGGACCAGATATGGGGGGGCACTGCGGCATGCCTGGCTCTGCCACGACTGGCTTGTTCTGGGCGCACCCTGGTCAGGCGATCCTGCGTTGTGACGACGTCAGAGCCCACGGCCTCCAGGATTTTGGTGTAGCGTGGTGTGGCATGCGCAATCTCAAACTGCAGGGCAGCGGGCGGGCAGCGCCAGCAGTGAGGCCAAGGCAGCAGCCAGCCAATCGGTCGAGCTCGGGAAACCACAGCAGGTCAGTGGCCGTCGCTGCGCATGCACCTGGTCGCGGAAGCGTGGGTCCAGCACGTAAGACATGGAGCCAGAAGTTCCCGACACTGAGACGGTGAGGAAGGAGTGGCGCAGGCTGCGCAGACAGGCGCCGCCAGAGCCGCCGCCCAGCGCGGTGCGCAGCTTGACAGCGTAGCCCAGGCGGCGCAGCGTGTCGGCCAGCTCGGGCACCGTCTGCGGCTGGCCGCGCTTGGCGGCATCCTCGCGCGCAAACCGCACGTGCAGCAGCAGCATGTACTCTGCAGGCACCGTTGGGTGGCGGGGGCGCATGCGGCAGGTGAGGCTGGGCAAGCGCTCCAGCACATCCTGCACAGGCGGCCAACAACACCTGGCTCGGACCACGGCTCCAGCAGGGTCTGCAGCTTCTGCTTGACCTCCGCCACGCTGGACTCGTCCAGTGCCTCGGCAGCCGCATGCTGCGCAGCGTCATTCAGGTCATCGACATCGAACACCAGAGAGGGCACCTTGCCCATCAGGCGCCGCACGCTGCCGGCGGAGCCGTCCTCGGCCAGTGGCACCACCTTGACTGCCCGCACCATGCTGCTGTCGCCAGTGCTGGCCGCTCGCACCTAGCACCTGCTGGGGCGGGGGGCACAGGAGGGGCGCAGGTATAGGATTGTGGACACGGAGGGGCGGCAACCAGACCTACTGTAGGTGGCGGCCGCCCATTCAAAGCTGGGCGAGGGTGTGGCGGGCGCCCGGCGGCTCTCTATCACGCTGTGGGGCGTGGCCAGGCCACCAGGGCCGCAGCCCGCGGTCGGTTGGAGGCCAGGTCGGCCGGGCCGCGTTCGAGGCAACGTGGGTGGCGGCTTGGCTGCGGCTTGGAGGGGCGTGACAAGGCCCCTCGGCAGCCAGCTCTGCAGCGGCCTGGGGCTGCAGTGCGGCTGGGCCGCCTGGCACTCCAGGCGGCTTGACTCTGGCTCACCCCTTCTCGCTAACTCGCTACCGCTGCTGATCTCGTTATTGTCACTGCATGTCTCTTGAAAGGGCTGGCGGCTGAAAAGGGTTGCGGCGGCTGAAGAGGGTTGCGCTTGGCGCGCTGCCGGCTACCGGACGAGCACAGGAAGGAGTCGAGAAGAGAGGAGAGGCCTCAATCCGCTCTTGGCGCGATGACCGCGATGACCGCGCCAGCTCGGCCGTATCTCTTCGCAAGGGCCAGTGTTTCTGAAAGCTGGCGAAATCGCCAAATGCTGGCGAAATCGGGCCAAAAAACGGCTCTGGCTGGCGATTGGCCGAAGGCCATCGCGATTGGCCGAAGGCCATCGCCAGCCAGGGCTGGCTAAATGAGGGCAGGCGGCGGGGCGACATCGCCAGCGCGTCGCCAGCCCCCATGACTGACATCGCCAATATTTTGAGGAGAAATGGCCAATTTTCCTCAGGAACTTCACTCCATAGTGTTAAACAAGCGCCAGCTTGCTGGGGGCTTCGTCCCCAGTCCCCCAAAAGGGAGGCAAGTGCCGACAAAGCAACAGCGGCGCCGCATGTGGCCGCTGCGCTGTGCCAGGCGCAAGGGTGGCTCCCCCGCATTTCGCCAATCCTCAATGTGCCATCGCCAGCTGATTGGCGAAATTTGGACGCGACAGCAGTCCTCATCGCCCGCCCATCGCCAAAGCTGCCACGAGGGCCAGAAACACTGGCAAGGGCCCTGTCCTTTCCTGTCTCAAAGGGCCTGAACATCAAGCGCTGTGAGCAGCGGCGTGTGATCAGCAGGACCGCCGCCCCCGCGCAGCCGCCGCCGCCCCCGCTACCCCCGCCCCGTCGCCGCCACAAGTGAACAAGCACCTGTCCCGCGCTGCACTCTTTTCCAATCCTTTTACACACCACTCCTGGGAAGAGGGCTGATTAGAGGCCGAGCGAATCCAGTATGCTTGAGAAATTGGCCAGGTATGCCAGGTGGCCCTCACACATTTTCGTCAGGGTTGCGTTTTCCACCCCTTCCACGCCCTCGATCGCCACCAGACCTGAAGTAGCAGCGATCCAACCCGAAGATTCTCCAGCGCAGACACCAAGCAGCCAGTCCTTATCTTGAGTAGCAGGTTGATCAGTCTGCCAGCCACAGCCCGCCGTGCCATGCGCC